TTTGGACTACGAGTATGAGTGAGAATCATAGTCTTCTAGAACCATGATGATTTACCACAAAGCCATCTGAGGTAAATCTTAATGAGAGTCAGTCTGGAGTTTGTAGTTCCTCATCTCCAATTTTTTATCTTTTCCTAGCATGGAAGTCAAGGCTTAAGCTAGACGAGCAAAATCTTTCACAAATCTATGATAGAATCCAGTGAGCCATGGAAAGCTCTTCAACTGAGTTTGATACTCATGTGCTGTTCATTTCTTGAAGACATATATCTTCTCACTCATTACTTGAATTCCTACGGTTGTAACTCTATGATCCAAGTACTATAGTTCTGATTTGTCAAATTCACATTTTAAAGCTTTGGCATACAATTGATTGTTTCTCAAAATTTGAAGTACTTATCGTAAATGACGTTTATGATCACTCAAAGTTTTGCTATACACAATATATCATATAGAAAAACAATGACAAAATTATTTGCATAAGGTTGAAAGATATTTTTCATCATTCCAATGAATGTAGCTGGTGTATTAGTGACATAACTAGATATTCAAAGATATCATAAAAGCAAACTTGTGGACATCTTCATCTGCAATTTGAATTTGATTGAAATTTTTTCACAAATCTAGCTTGGTGAAATATTTAGTTCCTTGAAGTTTATCAAACAAATCATCTATACAATATAATAAATATTTGTTTTTTCACCGTGTGTTGATTCAACCCATAGTAATCAATGCATAGTCTCATGGATCCATCTTTCCTCTTCAAGCACTGGAGTTCCATAAGATGAAACACTTGATTGGATGAATATCTTGCTCAACATTTCTTCCACTTGAACTTTGCATCTCATTGCTACAGATGGGGTACTTCCAGCACATCATCTGTAGCAATGAGTTGAACTTGCTTCTTACTACTTCCATGAGCTCCCAATCATTGACTTCTTTCAATCTCGTTTTTTTTATGCTTTGTGAAACTAGCAAAGCCGCAAAACAAGTTTACTGATGAACTTCTTCCTTCATCTCTTTGTACTCTATCACCTCCATGTTGTTGAATGGTTGTTTTTGTATGGATCGTACTCCTTGTGATGTCGATCAAATTTGGCAAAACTTGGCGATGTGATCCATTTGTCCAATTACATAGGATTGACAATTGTCACGAATTCATACTACTACTCAAAGCATTCCATTATTTGCATAACCTTTTTGCAAATTTGGAACTCTTAGTTGCCAAATTTCAACTCCAAATCTTGGGAGTGTTTCTTTTGTTGGTGCAAAACCCTATACGTCAAAGGTTTCTCAACTCAATTGGTGTAGGGCCAGATGTATCTTGAAATTTGCTTATATGTTCATCATGTGTAACATCATATGCATACAAAATTTGTTGAGCAATTGCGATTGCTTCATTCACAGTGGATGAATTACATGCCATTAACTCCTTTCAAATTTGATACTTCAAGCTTCGTTTGAACACGTCCAAGAATTGTGCTTCATTCATTTTCATGATAGACACTTGAAGATCATAAAATTCGTCAATGTACTCATGGATAACTCTTTTTTGTTTCAAAACTCACAACTTTATTCTTACATTTTGAAGATAATACAACGCTTTAAAATTTTGCAAAAGTTATTTCTGCATTCCACTCCACAAATTGATAATATATCGTTATGAAAGCATTTTTTCTCACATAGTGTATCATGTGATAACCTTATCTGTAAGATAAGATCTCATGAACATTCTTGCAATATAATTATAAACATGAAAATGAGATAAAAAAATTTCATCCTCACTATCAATTTCTCTAAAATTCTCATCACTCCATTTTCTTTGTAAGCTTTCATCTTAAAATATTTCATCATTTGAAGCAAATGATTTGCTTGATCTTCATTTTCTTGAAGACATCTTCTATTTGTCTCTGATGCATCAATAAGACTTGATTCCGGTTGAACTTGGAATTCAATTTCCATCTTTTCAACTCTTTTTCTCTCTAGTTTTTTACTCTCTAATGCAAAGATTTTATCTTTCATGACTTGTTGATTAATATATACATCTACTATCGTTTTTTTCCAACTTTTTTATTTTTGTCATGATTGCGTTGAGAACCTCAATCATATCAATTGATGTACCCATGATTTTTCACAATCACTCTAATATAAAGTAAATATAATCATTGTTTGATATTTCAACAAAGGACTTGATTCCGGTTAAACTTAGGATTCAACTTTCATCTCTTCAACTTTTTCTCTCTCTAGTTTTTCACTCTCTAATGCGAAGATTTTATCTTTCATGACTTGTTGTTTGATATCTCTATCTACTATCGTTTTTTTCCAACTTTTTCATCTCTGTCATGATTGCATTGAAAACCTCAACCATATCAATTGATGTACTTATGTTTTCTCACAGTTAGTTTAATACAAAGCAGATATAATCATTATTTGATCTTTAAACAAAGAAAACACTAAAGGTATGGATGATTCTATCACATCTCTATAATAATATTTTCCATGATTTTCCATAAGAAAATTGTTCCACAATCTCTTCTGTCAAAATATTGTTATAATCTCTACATATGTGTTGAATCCAATTGGGGCGGGTGGTTTGCAATTCATGAAACATTTAGTATAGAATGTATATGTTGCAATACCAAGTCTTTTGATAACTAACTATTGAAAGAATCAATGACACTCTCCAATCTATCAATCTAGTCATAAAATCTACACCCAATAAGCCACAAGATACATCCAAAAATGATGTTCTTCATGCAAAGAAGATGAATATTGAATAGGTTAGGAATCGGCTAGTGCGGTATTGGATTCACGTCAAATCCATCCATATACGCAAAACCACAATTCTTCCTCTTCCCCCTTTCTCTACATGCAGATCAATGACCTTTGTCAGTCACTATACACTCTTAAAAAATTGCACTCCATTATCATTCGCTATTCCATGAGGAGTAATCCACACTCAAGGAAAGAGCAATGTCGCTCTGATACCATTGTAAAACTAAGGTTTAGAGAGAAGATCTATCAAAGATAGAAACATAAACTCTGAATATGAGAGATATCAACAATGATTTTAATCACATTTATATAATCTAATTAATAAATACAAGAATATAAGATCTCATTCCCACCATTCAATCCACTTCTAGTGAATTGATAACATGACATATATACCTAAAGAGCACAAGGATTGCTGACGTGTCACTACCAACTAACACATCAACTAGTACACTCAACCTTACCTAACAAGCACACGGATTGATCACCTGTTGTTCCCAAATAACACACTAACTAGCACATTCAACTAGTAGATGGATTGTGATGTGACAATGTATATATTCCACTATCATCTATTTTTTCAATCTTGAGTAATCTCTACTTTAGTTCTAATAAACTAAAGATGTTTAGAATATCTCATACAATGATGAGTGTTATGAAGCTTGAGGTTGAAATGTGTAAGCTAAGATGTTACACTTATTAGTTATCGGAGCAGATTAATAAGGCTAAAGGGGTTGTCTTTAACCTTTGTCGTGTTCTGCAGCACAATTGATACGCCATCGTCCGCAAACGAGCTGAATATAACCGCCAATTGATCATGTTTGACTTCTCCTTATGATAAATTTTGAGAATTTTGATTCTTGAAATTTTGTCTGAAAAATGTAAACTTAAGCGAGTGTACACCATATCTCAAATATTTTTCTTCAAATATTTTCAATACAAAACATAATATTTAATATTATCGGTATATTTTGTTTCAGTTTGCAAAATTTATTGTTTATATTAAAATTAGTCCTTAATTTTTAAAAATGTATGAATAGAGTAAGATATTTAACTAATCAATATAATCATGATGTTATGATGATCATAGTGAATTTTGTATTCATTTTTGGAAAAGATTTTAAAAAAGATTATTTTGTATATTTAAAATTAAATTATTATTTATCCAATTTATGAAAGCTTATATTATTGTAAGCTAATTACTTGTTTTACATTGATTTTTGAATATGTTTAAAATAATTTTCCTCAATTTCATAATAAAATCACAAAAACTCTTAAAGAGCTTTAATTGATATAGACTTTTACATTAGTTGTAAATAAAACATTTATTCAAAATTTCTATGAAGATTAAATAAATTTAATTTGGCTTGAAATTACTTTTTATGATTACTTATGAAGCAATAAATTCATTGATGATATGATAATAATATTCATCTAAAGTTTGAGATTGATTAATTAAATTCATAGATGAATACTTAGCTACATTCAGATGTTAAACTTGCATTTATACATGAAGAAAAATTGCATAATAAGGATTTGAAATATGTTAACATGTTAATATGTTAAATATAAATATATTTGAAATATGTCTTCCTTTTTGATTAAATGCATATAATTTTAAAAAATTGAATGTTCTGAAATTGATATTTTCATGATTATAATTGATTGAACGATCATAAACATGCATGATGTTATAACGATAATAATATCTATTATTGTGTCACTGTATTATATATTGCTTGAAATAAAAAAAATTATTTCAGCCATCTTTTGTATATGAGTTTTACTTTTTCACGAGAGAAATAATTGAAAATTTTTTATTTTATAATATAAGTAATTTAGTTATGAATTTGAATATATTTCAAGTTATGAGGATTTAATGAGATATTTCAATCATATCCTTGTTCATAGCACCCTCAGTAAGAATGAAGGCACATGTAAACCTATACAAAATAATAATGCTCGAATGAAAAGAAAACTAACATATAGGATAAAACCTAGTGACTTGCAAAATAATCTCTAACGAGTTGGACTTCATTGTGTATTGATGAGTTTTAAGTGAGGGGAGAGGGGGTCCAAGTGGATCATTTTAGTGAGGTAGCTTGTACGTTTCCGTTTACATTCTAAAACAAGAGGTCTATGACAGGAGCCTAGTTGAAATCACATTCATGCCATCAGAATATCTTCTATGATCATTCTTCCAATGAAACATGACGATGGCTGCTGACCTCAGAATCCATACTCCGGAGCTCACCCGATCCATCATAGCGAGATATTTCTGCTGAATGGCCGATGGCTGGAACCAGGAACAGCAGATGTTGCGGTGCGGTAGAGCCTATGGAGTCATTTCACAGTGGACGGGAGTAAGTCCAGTATCCAAGGGCCATGAGACTCGTTCAGCACTTTCCACAAAGGTGCCGCTACTCGCTTTTGAACACTCACTCGATAGTCTTTTGTTCCCCATTTCTCTCAGTGTCTTCCCATGTCAACATCATGTCATCCTTCGACGCTCAACATACTGTTTCGGCCTAAAGCGTCATGGCGCAGGTCGATCATGTCCTGGGCTCCACGGTGACTAGTCATTTTCCCCCTTGTCAAGAGATTATCTGAACCTGTGGAAAGTTTATTCTTACCGTGCTCGTGTTGGTCGCAGCAGCAAGGCTCACTTATTGTGTAGCTGCTATTGGATGAGGATTCCAGTGATAGTGCGCTTTTTGCCTCATGTCTTATCTGGATCTCTTTGAAAGGGAGTTATCTCTAGCTCTGACTCCTTTTTACCATCATGAAATACTATGCACGATTGTGTCCTCTCGAAATGTACCAAAAATCTAGGCCAAATTTTATCTTCCCATCTTCTTTACAGCTCCTCCACCCATCTTCTCGTCACATGTTTTTCCTCACTATCCTGCAATTAAAAAATGAAGGTTACAGCATGTGGTGTAGTCTTGGGGGAAGATCGGCAATTGTAGAAAACCGCATGTTTGTGTCATAGATGAGGGGCGAAAATAACTTCTCTAGGAAGCCTTCTGCCATTTCAACAGAGGTATTAGCAGTTGGTTGGTTACGGAGCATACCTTTGAGGCTGATTTCTGATATGTTGGAGTGGAGGTCTTCCCCATGTCGAAGAAGTTTGCTGAAGTTCTCATCAAAGGGAGTCCATCTCAGTCGTCGTACGAGTTAGGAAGGATACAAGATGATAATAAACAGTCCTCACGTTCTGTCTGAATTTCGGAGACGATAAATGCACCCTATGAGAAATTTTTCAATGTTTTTCATGTTTAAAGGATATCGGCGCATATACACACTACTATCTAAATAAATAAATCTATATAATATAAACAAAAGCATGCTTTGCTTTGTATGGAATAGTTTTTAAGAAGATTTTTTCTCATGCTCTGATCCTTTGATAGGAACCGAATTACTCTGTGAGTAATTCACTGAATTTGAAAGAAGGAGAATTTGATTCTTGGTGATGAAGCATGCACTAATACTCGTCTTCGGAAATGAGAGTGCAATAACAGCAAAATCTTTTGCTAAGAAATAGACTGTGATTGAACCGTGACACTGAGACTGTTGTGGTTGGAGATCTTGGAAGAAGCAGCGAACAGCATCTCATACAGTTGTCAGTTGATTTTGAAATTAAAAGTCCAATTATGTCTTAAGAAATGAAAATCTTGGAGGGAGCAATACTTCACTGATCACGATAGCATAGGAGGATTGGCTGGTCTTGATCCACCAGGTTCAGTTCTTCCATTGCCTATCCCTGCGTAAAGAGAAGGACCGATGTATCCAATGAATTAACTCGAAGTACAGCATGTCAACTTGATCACGGTGCGGCAAACCAGGAAAAGTCATCCAAGAATGACAATGAAAAGGAAAGGAAGGATTGAACTGGAACCTACATACTTTTGCAGCATGGAATTTTTCTGCATGCATGCAACTGGGTGAATGTACCTGCACCTTGTATCTACAGTACTAACAAACATTTCACTCACCTACATACACTCAGCACCACATCTCAATTTTTCAACTAGGTGCGACTTCATGACTCCAATTGTACCTTCGGATACGATTAAATACTCCTGAGGCCCACTTGTCAGCCGAAGAGACTAGGAAACCGTAATTTGAATCACAATATGTAATTCAAGTAAGATCATTTGAGAGGTTTGAGATCATACATTATCATAGATTATATCGCACCATATCGGATGTTTCGTGAGACGAGCCTGGTTGAGGTGGATGCTGTGAAATCTGTGGACCAGTAGGAAATGTACACTTGACAACTTATTCGGCTCTACAAGTTATTTTGTCCGTGATATTTTATTCATGCATGTGTCTCGCCAGCTCCTGAAATTAATACCCGACTATATTTAGCGCAATTTTGGTTTTGGTGCCGGTTTCGTTCCGGATCACTGGTTTACGTAAGGTCAGTTACCAAGGTGATGAAAGTCTTCGGCTCGGTCACATGGTCAGGTTTTCTCTGTCACAAGTGTCCCGTTCGTTTGCGTTCCATCGTTTGACTCTTCGGCTCCTTTTCTTGATGAGTGGAGAATCTTCTATCCGATATCCGGAAGGCTTTAGCTCTTCCAATCCATCGACAGTATTTCCTTCTCCTTCACAAAATGCAAATATGTTAAAGTATTAAAAAAAATATAACATTTTGTTACTATCATAAAGATTGAATCCAAAGTGTTTCTCAATATTGGCAGCACCTGTGCTCCTTAGTGGAATTTAGTTCCAATGCTCGATAGTAATATACTCAAAACCTGCCAAATTTGTATTGCATGGGATTCATTTTCTGGGAACCCAAACTCACCGGGATCGCTTTGTTCATGATCTTTGCAAAGTGATATGGCACCGGGGTGGGAGGTGATCATTGCGAACTCACAACGATCGCTCAGATCGCGTCCTATGCATCTGGCATTGAAATTCTGGGCGAGTGAGCAGCAGTTAGCGAAATTGTGCAATTTTCACCTAGCCTGATTAATTTTCGCTGTAGGAAGCCCCACGCTTACAATTATCGAGAGTAACCTCTACAATGAACCAAGAAAGTCGACTGTATTTTCTAGTCCTAAGCTTTTAGTAAGAGGTCGGAAATGGAGAACTGAAAAGTAATGGGATCCACAACAAACTGAACAGCGAGGAGAGAATGGTGGAGCAGGAGGAGGAGAGGGAGGTAAAGATGTAGAAGGGTACGGAACGGAAGAGATAAAAGGTAGCTGCCCGAAAACAAGAGGATAGTGACAGCAGTACACGACAGGGCGGAAATAGGGCGATTTTTTTGCAGGATAATCCGCAAAATCACAAGAAAGAAAGTAGATAAATCGAGGAGCAAAAGAAGGGATATGCTCGCGCTGCGCTGTGCTCAGGTCAAGGCTCCAGCGACTCGTTGGACAGTGTCGCTTTCGGCTGCGGACCGGAGGAAAGAGACTTGATCCGAAAGGAACTAATTTATTAGCACGGCCAGCCAAAAGGTGAGTGGACGATTTGACGTCGCACTCGAATCGACTCAGCTCATCTTCTGCGCTGCCCTCTCGTTCCTCCATACCTCTCCCGTTTCCTCCCTCTGTTTGTTTGTTTGCTTGCTGTGCTGCGCTGTAGCTAATGCTTGTCGCCTTCCCCCCTCCCTTTTGACCTCGACGACATCAACTGGATCGAATGATCCAATTACTGTCTGCCCTTCCACCTGATTCACTGATGTGCTTGTGCTCTTGTTCTGACTGATGTGAGTGAGAGTCATAAATATTGACTGGTGAAGGAAAAAGGTGAGGACAGAGACCGCGAGACAGAGAGTGGGCGTGTGGTAAGAGTGTGGTTGTGTGGCTGGCTGGCCGCTTGTAGAGGATTGACGTTTGGATCCACCACAGATCGGTCCTCAGAAGAGACACAGAGAGAGAGAGAGAGCTGGAGATGGAGGCGTTAGTGCTCTAAGGAGCGACGTCGCTACTTGCCAAGTGAGATAGGGCGCGGAGGAAGTGTGGCTGTTTCTCGACAGGGAGCGGTTCCACCCGGAGAAGGAGCAGCGGGATCAGGAGGCGAAGATTTGGTGCTTCAGCTTGAAGGAAGGGAAGATTTCGAGTCTCACATTCTCTGGAGCTTCTCTTCTGGTTGTCGCAGTCTCATCAGTCCACCCGGACGGACTGACAGACATACAGATAGGCAACAAGCAAGCAAACATCGAAGGAGGGCTAGCTGCCCAGTCGAGAAAAATCCGAGGAGCATACTCGGTGTAGACCTGAGACGCGCATCAGAGTCAGGCAGAAGAGCTGGACATCGCTGACGAAGGAGTCGGACTCGGAGAATTTGGAGATCCGCGGCACGAGCAGGTTCTGGCCGGAGAAGCAGAGTTCGCCGTCGTAGGCGTAGCCTGTTTTTGCTAATCAAAATCAGAGGCGAGCACCGCCGAAGCAATCCGACGAGGCACTCTCGAGGTGTGAGCACGGAGCGGAGACGAATTCCTCGAGGAATACGGTAAGGACGGAGCGAACCGAGGGTGATTTCAGCTGCGCGCACAGAAGAACTCGTTCTGCCTCTCACAGTGCATAGACGAATTGCCGCCCATTGTTGAAGGAGGAGGAGAGAGCCGCTGGTTCCGATTGTCTCGTGGTCGTTAGGGCTGCTGCTGCTGCTCCGCTCGCGAAGCGCAGAGCATCTGCTAGGGTTCTGACGCTGCGCTCGCTCTTCTTTCTCGAGGAAAGGAATTGGTCGCAAGAGCACGCGGCGATCACGACTCCGTGCACGATCCGAGGTCGGGCCCCTGACCGAGTCTCGGATTGCGCGTGCGGATTCAGCGGTGCAGCTGATTCGAGGAATTGCGTGAATAAAGGGAGAGCGCGGCGAATGGCCCCGGGGGGCGGCAATTAATCGACGACCATGTCACGCGGATCGAAATGACTTCGTCTTTCATCGTTAATTTGAAAGGGGCCGCGCACGCCAGCGCGCCCGCACCGGTCAAGAGCGCAGGCCCGTGCTTCGATCTGTGCTGCGGCAAGGAGTCGTCGTCGAGGCGAGCTGCCGCCGAATTCCGGGGCCCCAAGCCCGCAACCGTTAAGGCGGGCCTGCGCCGATCTGCCAGCTCGAGTGACACGACAACGGGCGGGAGCGCGAGCCTGCCGAACTTGTTGGATTGCGTGTTCTCCAGCAGCGGCGGGAGTAGGATCGGAAGCCGAGCCGAGTCGGCGCGGGGGACGAGCACGAGCCATAGCAGCACGAGGACGAGGGCCAGGGCTAACAGAGGGTCCGAGTCCGAGCGGAGGTGCTATCCTGCCACCGAGAGGGAGCCGGCGACAGGCGACGAGAAAGCGCAAGCTTCGGGCGAGTTCGGATTGCGCTCGTCGTCGGGGTTGAGCAAGCTCTCGCATTTTCTTCGAGAGCTCGCGCGGCAGGATTGCTGGGCTGGATTGCTCGAGCCCTTCCAAGGCGCTGGAAATCTCAGCCCGGGGAACTACTCGTTCCAGGAACTGAAGCGCAGATCGCCCATCATGCCGACAAACCTAACCTCTCCGGGCTACGATCCTCGATCGGCGCCCGCGGCCGATACAGAGCTCGAGCAGAGTGCGGATCGCGTGCATGAGGAGGAGCAGGCGAGCATGTCCGGATCGTCCGAGACCTCTGCGCTCCTGGCCTCGTACCTTCCGGACTCGGATCTGCTCTCCGCTGCTTCTACGAGGTTGCAAGGCGCTCACGATGCGGGAGTCGGAGCACCGGCCAGGGCGAACGGATCGGCGCAAGTGTCCGCGCCGTCGGCCAGGATTTGGATCCACGACGAGCAGCCGCAGGCCGAGCTCTGCCGCGAGTCGGCGACGTGCGTGACAGCTGAGGACATTGGCTCGTGCGAGAATTTGGCGCTGTGGCTGGAGGAGCGGATCGGGAGCTCGGTGGTGAGCCAGTGGGGGAATGCCGCTGCCACCAAGAGGGTGTCGAATCTGTGGTGCGAGCTCGTCGAGGGCGAAATTTCTCTGGAGGACAGCCGGCCCCCGAAGCGCACCGCGCATGTGGCCAGCGTCAAGATCAGGAACGACCAAGGGCATGTGCTGGTGGAAGCGTACCAGCAGATGGCGGACGGACGAGTGAGGCCTCGGAATCGGCCGCTATCCGAGAAGATGAGGCCCGGCGAGCACGTAGAGGAGGCATGCCTGAGGGGCATTTTTGAGGAGCTCGGATGCCAAATGGGTGCCCGCGAGAGGGTGGTTATGGTTCCCGAGTCTTATCGGAGGGAGGAAGAAGAGCGCGAGTCCTTCTCGTACCCTGGTCTCCCGACGCGCTACGTGATTCACACGATGGTGGCTCACATCGAGCATCTGCCTTCGACGGAGTTTTCCACCGACGAGGACGAGTCGGGTCATGGTAGTATCGGCTTGATCGCACCGATCGATGGTGGGGCGGCTGGCGCAAACGGAAGCGCCGGTGCTGCTGCTCCTGTGGGGGTGAAGCGGCATTTTTGGAAGTGGGTACCTGAAAATCAACTCGGCGACTTGTGTAAAAGATAGTCGAGCTGCTGCGAGAGAGCCTTATCGTCGGAGAGAAGATTCGTCCGGTCGTTGGTCTTGCAGTAAATTTCAATTTTCCTTAATCTTGAACGCCGGGAGCGTTTTGTTCTTTTTTTCCCATCCAATCAGCCCAGAAGGTTTCGCGATTTCGCCGTGTTAAGTTCACATTTTCCCGTTCTCCTTACGATCTGTATCATCCTCTATGTCAGAATAAATGATTTGGTTTTGGGAAATTTAACCCGAATTTTACGGGTTTCTTCACTATGTACACAAATTTTGTGCTGTGCGTGCGGAGTATGGAATCCAGTGTTTTAAATGTGTCGTTATGTAGAGCAAAGATGAGCTATTGATTGTCACGGCAGATTCGTCATGTCTGTGTACTGCAAGTTAGTCGTGGCCAGGGACATGCAAGTTTCTTTCTCAGCTCACACTGGGTTTGTAGGGACAAGGAGATAAGTTTCTCGCCTTGGGTGATTGCAGACCGATAGCTTTGGACGAAATTGTTTTCAGATGTGAAACATCCACTCGCATTCAATATGGTTAAAATAAAGGAATGAATGCATGCATTCAGTGTTCCCTCGCACGAACATTGCAATCTTCTCTACATTTCATCTCCGCTTCTTCGAGAGTTGCCATTTCCACAAGCTCTGCCAGTCTTTGGTCGAACTCTCTAGCACTCTGGTCACGCTGGTCCAGCTCTTCTCCTTCTATCGCAAGCCACTTCTCGCGCAAGTCATCCAATATATTGCCCAAATTGTCTCGTCCCTCTACTAATTCTCCAGGAGCACTGGGAGCGGTGGTTCGCTCCTCGGAGTCACCTGAAGGTGGTGGAAGAGCTTTGAGCATTTGACGAAATTCGCGCGTACTCGCAAATAACTCGAAATTCAGAGCCATTGCATCGAGGCAGTGCTCTCTCAATTTGGATACCCCGTACCTGTCCCCAATGTCACAGCAGTAGCAAATGTTAGCCAGCGTTGGAATCCAAGCAACGATGTGCACGGTGCAAATATTAAATATTCTCAAGATTCTCTCAAGGGCTCGCGGTCCTCGATCCTGCCTACTCTGCGGGGTCAAAATGTAAGTGAGATACTTGCAAGGTCAACTTACATGTCAGAGAGGAGTAACCAGTGACATAATTCGGCAGGTGGGGTTGACTCTAGGTGAGGCAACAGGACATCCACCACCGCTCGTTTTAGGGGAAACAACAGGTACCGTGAGGCAGCATCGAACATCTCCTCCGCCTGAAGTACAAATCAAAGCCATAAAACGTTCAGGAAAACGAGAGCCACAACAAGATTCAGGAAAATCACGATTTTGGATGACAGAAATAACGAGTCAGGGAAAGCATTATTCAACTACTAAGGCTCCTCTGCAGCTTCGGAGCGACCTTAGGAGAACTCACCTCATCAGGGTCTATATCCTCAACGTAGTCCGTGTAACTGCGCAATCAAGTAGGAAAGTGTGAACTTAAGCAGGTGGCAGGCGAAAACGAGCTGTGAGAAAACCATGTCAGGAAGGTGTAGGGGACGCTTACCTGCTCCACAGTTCTCACTTCTCAGGAGTAATAGAGCACATCAAAGTGTTCGTTCACGGCGTACATCATCGAGTTAGTCAACAGAACTACTAATGGTAAGCAGTGAGTCAGGACCAGGGTGAAGAAATCAGCTCTTATGTCTGAGTCAGTGTCCTGAACATTCGAAGGATAGAGTTCTCGACATCCCTAATGGAGTGTGACCTCCGAAAAGACTGTAGGAGCTCACAAATTTGAAGTCGAGTAGAAGTAACTTACATGTATTCCAAAAGCTTCTCAAATGCACCTGCACTCAGATCATGTTCTTCAAGCACGGGCAGCACCCCAAACCCACCATTTCGTGTAGTGGAACGAGCTTTTTGATTCTCACTCATGCGAGCAAATCTTGCATTGAAATACTCGGACCTCGCCGCAAGAATGAACCGGTGGCACCTGAACTTCACTCCATCGACGAGGATGATAACATCGGCATGATCTTCCTCGAAAGCCTCCTCTTGCTGTCCTGTGGAGGAGGCTTCGGAAGATGCTGCCATGCGTTCCCTCTTGACGTCTTCAGCCATGGAACCATCCTCCTCGTCACACTCGTGTAGTCCTGTGACATGCCCATTGGCCTTGGGAGCCGAGCTCTCACCTCGTCTTCCAGCCAGGGGAATCTCATGACCATTGGATCCAAATCCCGTGACAACACTGCATTCCTTGCGAGAGTTGGCGAGGCAGAGGCGGAAGAGTCGCCGCATGGCTGCAGGGAGCTGCTCTTGCCAGGATAGGGACGATCCTTGGAGTATGAATCTCTTCTGAGAATCGTCTACTCCCCTCAAAGACTTGTAGTTTGCAAACTTCTGGTGCGCCAATTCTTTTTCGAGGGCTTTCTTGAGGACAATGCATTCACACACTTTACAGACGCGCACCAGATCTTCCATATCATACACTGCCACGTCTAGCCTGTCCGTGTAGAAGTAATGGAGCAAACTAAAGAGAGCTGCGTATGTGAGCTTGCTGTTTACGAACCTCAACTGTTTCCTGTCTTTCCAGTCCGTCTCAAACTTGCGCTTGAAATACGGAGACCGAGCTGCTAAAATTGCACGGTGTGCCTTCATCACCCTTCCTGCCACAGAGAATGTGACATCGGGTCCAAATTCGTCTGACTCCTCACTCACGCTGGTTGGTTTTCGAGTTTTCCGAATCGCAATATTCGGATGATCTGCATCTTCTTCGTCTGTTAAAGAACTGCGTTCCAAATAGGTCAAATTTGCAGGAGACTTGAGAAAAAGCTCTCGGAGTGAGCGGGGCAGGGGTGCAAGAGGTGGTGGTCGGGCCTCAAAGGCTTTGAGGAGCTTGCGAACACGCAGATTAAGGGCGGCGTAGTGACAACGGTCCCCGTCGAACGTATTCTCACTGCAAATGGCTCCAGACTCTAACAGCATATGGGCTGCATCCAAGTGACCTGCGAAGAACGCATACAAGAGCAAGCTCGTATGATGCCCATCTCATCCAAGACTGCTCGAATTTGACCAGAATGCAACAGAAGGAGGAAGCTAGAAGGGAAGCAGAACATAATTCGAAAAGAGTATATCAAGTAGTTTGAAAGAGCTAGTCCAGGAAAGAAGGGGCAAACAACTGACCGCTTCTGAGCCACAACGAGAAAGAGGGCAAGACAATAGACAAAGCAGGCACATTCTCTAAAGTCCTAGTTGGAGAAGAGTACATTCTTTGACTGCAAAGACCAAAGGACAAACTACAGAAAACATCAGAGACGCCAAAAAGAAACATAAAAAAAAATCTATGAGTACCGTAAAAAAGAGACGTAATTCAGATATCAGGAGAGGGAACTCAAATTCTTTTTTATCAGGTCTAGAGCCACTTTGGAGCTAGTGAGTGGGCACCCCTTGAAAATGATGGTACTGCACATTATTGCTTCGGTGTAGTTTAAACGTCCATTGGCAATCTTGAATCTGTAAGTTCGTTCTCCGAGACTGATCCAAATAGTTTAAGTCATATTCATCTACTACACACAGAAAGATCTCTGAATCTAGAAACAGTATTTTCTGCAGGTTCAGTGATCGGCACAGGTACTCTGCTCGACGCTTACAATGACCAAGATAACGGTGTAAATTATATATGTGTGATAATTGTATGTCAGATATGTGATAATTTTGTCAGAAACAAATCGACGACTGCTAAGATGACAATTAGGAGTAGAAGAATCTAGGTCAAATTCGAGATGGAGAACGTTTCTAGGGAAGAACTGTAAAATGCTACGTTTGGGAGTACAGAGGGAACCGGTTCTGATTCTATGGCTACAGATTCTCAGAGATCAAAATTGAATGAGATGTGAAGATCAGTTATTCTGTTCTACCAACATGCCCGAAATCCGTCCGCAGGTAAGCATAGGTTCTTCATCAAAGATCAACCGTCTCAATCCAGGTTTCCGGAATTCAGTATACGCGCAAATTCAGCTCTCGACAGCAAAGACAAGGACTAGAAAGCACTGGATTCGAGTTCATTTCAAAGGCTTTGCTGAGATGCTCAGGGTACAATAACGCCCCCACTTCAATCAGCAATGAGGAGAAATCCCAAGCGGCAAACGAAGAGAATTGAGGCTCAAAGGTCTCTGGGGATAAAGATGGTCCAGGGGTAGAACCCACCTGCAAGGCAAGCGTAGTACAGGGCCACAGAATCCCATGCATCTCTGGCGTTCACATTCACTCCGAGGTCCAGCCAGAAGCTCAATCTCTCCACGTCCCCTGCTCTGGCCGCCTCGTACACATCTCCGGTCGGGACAGGTTTGCGAGGCAATTCAGGGCCTTCCGGTTCATCGTCGTGGAAAATCGCATCGAGCTCCGGGTCCAATTCCGCCCACTGTGGAGCCATCTTCGGTTCTCCGGTTCCAGGGCTCCTCTTTGTGTCAAAGAATTCAGTGCTCGGAAGAAAGAGGATGAAATGCGTCTCTTACTACCGCTCTTGCTCCTCCTTTCCTTTCTTTTCCTGTAATCATTCCTTCTTTCTCTCGGTCAAGGGCATTCTTTCAATCAATCTCCATTTCCTCCTATCTCTCTTCTCTCTTCTTGTCGCTTCACCTTCAATCGACACATACCCTACAATATCGTCTGATAAACATCCTCCACGAACTCGCACATCGTAGATTTCTTGCTTATAAGAACCTCGCAGCGCTGTGTGATCGTACTGTTGATTCTTTGCGATTTGTCCTTGATTGTTACCAACACTTGTCCCTCCCCTCCATGGATGTCCCATTGGGGTTTCGGGGCCCCGGGTCCCACCTCCTGCCTGCATCTCGACATAAAACCATAAGCTGAATGGCTTCGGTGCCCGCCTTCGCGACTCGTCTTTTCCTATAGATTCTTAGTAGACGACGTGGTGCTGTTCTTTCAACGCAGTAGACAGATTGCTCGAGTCTAATACCAGCCAGCGTTCGGGGTGAGGATTGTAGTGGAAAAAGATTAGTACTGCGTCAGATACTCACGTGGTGGGCGAGGGAACGTGGCAGATGGTCTGGAACGTCTGGCTCCGGAGTACAAGGCTCCCGTGCACGCTCCTCTTCGCGGTCGGAGGATATCGCATTCGACGTGGTGACTTCGTCGACGAAGAAGAAGCTCAAGCAGCCACGGTCTTGACTACGTTGAGATGATTTTTAAAAACCATGCAAACTGTACTGCAGTGGGCGGGCGAGTCCTCTGCCCAGCAGATAATTCCTCTCTGCGGGAGGGCGAGAGTGAACAATAGAGGCAGCAAAATTCGTGGCCGGCAGGATTCGAACCTGCGCGGGCAGAGCCCACATGATTTCTAGTCATGCCCGATAACCACTCCGGCACGGCCACTTGATGTTCTCCACTTCGAAAACACTCTAATTATTATAGTAAGAAACATTTGGTACGTTAAGAGGTTTTGTTGCTATGGATCTTTTTATTGGAGAGGCTTCTGTTCATTAGTTCGACATGATTCCTCTTATTATTGAGAATTTGTGTTGGGCTTTGTGGTACGGGATTGGTTTTTGATTGGAGAGGCTTCTGATCATTAGGATGTGTGTAGAGTAGAGTGAACGGCTTTGACTTCCACAATGTTAGTGCGAGGTCATGCAAAGGACTTGATTTTATCGGAGAGCTGCAGCAGATACTGATCCTACATGTGCAATGAGATTGTTTACTGAAACACGTTCTGCAGTTTCACTCTGCGGATGCACCTGGAAGAACATGAATGATGGAGATTGAGAATGAACAAGCGAAGTGTCAGGTGGCTACAGGTTAGATCATCCGTGGATCCTATGTTCACTGGTTCACTGCAGATCTTCTGAAGCTTCATTACGTACTCTTCTTCCACGTTGTCCAAACTCCATGCACCTTGCCATGGTTGTGTTAACTTCATGGCTCGGAGTTTCTGGAGTATCGTTAGCTGGCAGAAGTCTTTGTGCCTCTGCCCACCAGATCTAAACACAGTGTCAGTGTTCATCACATGCCCTCTTCAATCCATATGACCTTTATATTCCCTTCCTCGGAAACAGGAATGGATCCTGCCTGCAAGGTGTCCCGTGGGGGTTTCAGTCGAATAATGGTCTGACTCTATTGCTCCCGGGCAATTCCATCGAATCTGTTCGCTGTCAACGAATATGTTTTTTCTGGATCTGTTTGCATTTGAAAGTGTTGTGTCCACTTACCTTAAAAGCTGAGTTCCAACAAAGCCAACAGTTTCTTCCAGCTTGTTGTCTGGTTGTTACTGTTCTTCTTGGCCCTCAAATATTTCCAGCTTCCCTCCCCCATGCCGATTGAACAGACATTTACCGGAGGAGATGTAAGTTTGCATGAATCTACCGGACGAAGTGAGCTCAAGAGAATGCGTGATTTCGTTCATCCAAAAGCTCAACCTTTCATAGCACTCGGCCGAGAATTCATGCCCCCTTTGGATCAGAACTATCCCAAGGGCTCAACGCAGTGCTCATGGTCGGGTACGTTCGGACGCAAATGTCGGAGAACTTGAATCCTGCCGGCGCGGGTCAGCGACCCGCTGCCTGCAGAGTTCTCTTGTTTAGAACGTTTTTCACAAGCTTACATCAGCACAATGTCCGCGTGCTAACTCTTCACCTCAAAACAATTCTCAATTCTCGATGACTGTCAAAGATACCGAAGCGCACTCAGTTGTCAGCGAAAACTACAGCTGCGCTGGTCTTCCTAAACTCTGAACTGCTCCATTATGCACATTCCTCACTCTCGGTCTATCCTCCCTCCTGGAACTCGTGCTCACGATATATGATCTACAACACTCGGCCCCAGTGAGCATCCTCAACATCCGTCACTTCTTTCCCTTCGACAAATCACCATCTTCCGAGCTCACCTAACCATCCGTCCATAACCAGCAGCGCCTTACAGTTCCCAAACTCGAGCCAGAAAAAAACTACAGAAACTAAACGATCCTACATCTAATTCAGCCACTGTCTTGCTCCCGATCGCAGAAAACAAGCGACCACGAGCTTGAATTTGTGACCACTGCAGATGCGTTTCTGCCGCCGTAGTATGCACGGACGAAGTCAGAAGCGCATATTTTCCAAATCGCGAGCAGCGGCAGCAGACGAATTCCGGTGCTTTCGAATCTTCATCGCCCTGCGAAGCTGTCGATCCCGCCCGCCCGCCGCCGCCACGCAGAATTTTTCACAGCAGACTCCGCTCTCAGGAATGTATGATGTATGTATGTACACAGGCGAGCAGCGGGGCGGGAGGTGGTCAGATTAGCATCAGATCATGACGAAGGGGTCGAGGCCGGGCTCGAAAGCGAAGAATTGCCCGAATGCGCCGCCGTAGAAGGGCGACGAGAAGCAGGTCCACTTCTCCTTGCGCACGTCGAGCACCAGGAAGACGACGGGGCCCTTGACGCTGCCGCCGCCCATGTAGATGAGGCCCTTGTGCGCGACGAAGTGCGTGCAGCTGATGCCGGCGACGGGCGCCGGGGGGCCACGGGCGACGTGGATCCAGTCCTCGGAGTCGAGGTCGAGCTTGAACACGGCGATGCTATGCGCCGGCAGTACGTTGCCGCTCATGGCCTCGGACACGGCCACCACCAGAAGCTCGCCGTCGCACACCAGCAGGCCGGTCTCGCGCGGACGCCCGCCGATCTCGAACTCCGGGAAGTGGAGCAACGGGAAGTCGAGGCGCACGCCGGTGCAGCGCGGCTCGTCGTCTGCGCCTGCAGCTGCGCCGTCGCGGCCCAGCGCCACCAGCGTGTAGGCCATGAGCTGCGCCGTGAAGTGACCGCCCAGCGACGCCATCTTGTCCTGGTACAGCACGTACAGCCGGTCATCCAGCACCGCGGCACCGGCGAACGAGCTGAAGGGCGTCTTCAGGTATGTGAAGTACGGGATGGGCATGTCCGTCGCCAGCAGGTGCCAGGTGTCGCGCCTCGAGTCGTACACCTGTAGATGCGCCTCCGGGTGGTAGATTGTCCATGGGTGCAGGTACACGAGGATCTGGAAGGTGCCGCGCCCCGAGCCCAGCACCTCGACGTACAGGTGCTCGAGCCTCTTGGGGCGTACGGGCATTGTCAACGTTTTGGCCGCGCCGCTGACAACGTTCTTCAGAAAGATCTGCGTCGCCGTTGGCGCCTCGACCACGCCGCAGATCAGCGCTCCGGTCGCCGTGCACGAGCCGAACGACCAGATCTTCTTCTGGTTCGGGAAGAAGGCGACGTTGTACATTTTGCGCCATTTTCTCGTTGTCAGGTTGAAGCCGATGAAGCATCGGAAGTCCGGGCTCACGTAGACGGGGCAGAATTTGTCCGACTCCGAATCAGTCGATGAGACTTGGGCGTGGTATTGGAGCGAGGCCGCAGGTCCTCCCGCTAGGGCCGCCGACCACCATTTCGTCAATCCTCGAGCCTTGAGAATTGCCGGGAAGGGCAGGAGCGAGACGATTTTCTCGATCACCTCCTCCGGGTACGAAATCCCTTCCTCGGACGACGTGCCTTTCTTACAAGATAACATTCTTTGCATCGGAGGATGAATTGTCGAGCTGACGAAACCGTCAGCCCGTGCCGAAAAGAAGTAAATTCCGCCTTCACCTGCAGCTACTCTCGTTCCCGACTCGTCTGATCGTCCTCCAGCAGCAGCAGCTTGCGGGCAGACCACTGGAACTCTGACGAGCTTCACAATCGTCGCAAGGCCGCCGCACAACACCTATCATCATCGTCGTCGTCGTCCCCCTCCTCCAACTTCAGCTGCCACTTCGAGCTCGGCCTTCCGGGAGCATCGTGGGGGAGAGGTGGGCATGCTGGCGATATGAATCGAGCGAAGCGGGAGGTTGGATCATCAGGCCAGAGTACTTAGGCTGAGAAATTGCAAGACTGTAGTGGTGAAAAGTGTTCAAACGACTCCAGAAGTCTTTGGTGACAAAGCATGATCGCCTCCGTCAATGGAGGGAGGGAGGGAGGGAGGGAGGGAGGAAAGTACAGGGAAAAGAACGAGAAGATCACAAGACTTTCAAACGAGGCAGTCGTATAGAGGTGGAATGTAGGCTGTCAACCACCGATCCCACGAATGCAGGCCGACCCTGGGACTGTTGCAGTAATTCTCAGCAATCCGGGTGCGTGAGCGTTGTTGCGCCAAGGTTTGTGCGAGCCCATCCAGTATGGCTATTCGACGTGTCAAACAAAACTCAGGTGCACTCCGGTGGGCCCTGATCCAATTCAAACACCCGCTCCTCCTGCACGAGAAGTGCAACACACAAATAGTACAGTACACCGCTGTACGAGCTAGCACACCACGAAGAAAGCTTGAATCCGCTCATACACAGTAGACGATCCTGAACATCCGATCCTTTACAGCAATCACCTTTGACATACAATCCAACCGCGGACCATAACTTTGACTCCGAGAACGTAAAAATTTGAGCCTTATTTGACACAATTTCACACAAGTCTTCTGCTGCGAAACGAAGACTTAAGAAAGTGGAATGTGTCGAGACTGGGCTAACTCCGTAGCAGCCCTGTGCATTGTTCTTCCAGCTCACATGACAAGGTCGCAGTAGCTCGGCATCCCTCTAAGCTCTGCGCGAAACATGGAAAGGTGGGGGTAGAGTGCACGGAGCCTGCCAGCAAGTAGGTCCCTTTTCTCAGCGAGAATAGTTTTCAGAATCAACTGACAGGTAAGAGGAATCCCATTCGGCGGTGCCACTGATGATGTTTCAGAGAGAGAGAGAGAGAGATGGAGAGAGAGGGTTTGGCCTCGATGGGCGAGGCTCGGAAGATCTTCTGGCTCGTGAGCGAGAGGCGAGAGAGCTGTAGGTTCCCGGAGTCACTTGATTCAAGCCTCAGGTTTTGGACACTACTCCTCTCGTCCTCAGACTTCAGAATGTTCTGCGTCGGCTAGAGCTGTCCTGTACAGCTAATATGCAAATGGGCTCCTCCTTCTTATGCCTGTAGCTTGGCAGTAAAAAGGCGTCCACGAGTCCAGTCTCGATCGACTATCCAGGGTCCAGTGCTTCAAGAATCTCTACATCAATGGCTTTAGAAGGCGACCAACTCGTCACAATTTTCGCAGTGATTTTCACTTCAGTCCGCCGGTGGCCGGGCCCTCGTCAACAGGTGGTTGGTAGCTTGCGGGTCCAGATTTGGATTCACTGCCTCGTGAGCGGCGCAGCTTTCTCTCCCTGTTGGAAGGAGTAGAGTAGGAGTTTCTGCATTCATTCCCTTGCAGATCAAGTTTCTTCCGGTTGGATTCCCAGGATTGATTGCAAAGCTCTTTCCCAGGAGATATTCACAGGCAGCACTTTTAATAAATGAAAGCTTTTCTCGGCAGACTTGGGCTTTTTTTAATTGCTTAGGCAGACTAAAGGTTGTCAACTTGTGGAGCTATGAACTCAATAATCAGATCTTTCGGCGGGGACTCGGGCATTTATTTCGGCCATCGTCTAGTGCACCCATGTCAGGACGAGCTAGGACGACAGAAGATCTGCAAGATGAGATCTCTGGGCTAGTTCAGTCCAGTCCAGCCTTGCGCCGTTCTGAAGAATATGTGGAATCTGCACAAAACATTGCAAACGCGCGCAACGACGGAATTGTGATCACGACGTTCCCCAATTTTCAGTCGATCGCACGAAACAACGAACATCACGAAGAGGGTCCGAACGAACACTAGCGTAGTTGATTTTCTAGTTTCTTGCTCTTGCTCGTAGATCGTCGCCCAGTCTTTGGCACCTCGTCGACGGTCATGGACCCGGGGATGGTTATGGACATGCCGTGAGTAGATGAAGGATGCTGGAAACGCAACGGATGATGAATGCGTATAGACGCGAAACCGCACAGCAGATGGAACTACCGTGTCTCGTCCTGAGAGCCCGATGCTCGGATTCCATGGAGGCGAACGGCACCGAACATGATGCACAGGTTCTCTCTCATACGTACCCTGTGAATCCCTCGGACCTCTCGTTAACAATGCCGCCAGGGTTGTGGCCCCTCAATATCTGAGTTGTAGATGGTGACTGGGCAGGTCCTTATGCTTGTGGGGAACAACAAGGATGAATAATGAACTGGGAGTTTCGCTCGATCGAAGATGAAATGACCTTCTACCTAATCTGAAAAAGGCTCAGACTCCGACGCAATCATAGACGCATCGATATCCGAGAAGATGCCCCAGAGAGTCGAGCAGCTCTCTGCGGAGAATCGGGAGAGAGTATTATACGCGGAGTAAGGAATTAAGTGAGGTAAGGAGATCGTCTAATCTCGACTCCCTGAAGATGCGGGGTACAGATAAGCTCCTCAAGGCATCGCTGATGCGAGACGTCATTCCGATCGTTCCGCTGTTCTCATAAAAGAATGCGACCCTCTTCGAGATGTCAAGTTGCACCACCCGCAACTGAATTGGAGGATTGATGGGTGAACACGGAGACAGAAGGTGCTCCTGGACTCTCATCGTCGGATTGAAAAGCCATGTCTCAGGTTACGGTAACGCATTGGCCGTAGATGAGTCGAATATTCCTAGCATCAAAATCAGTCTAACGATCCTGAGTCAAAATTTATATTAAGAATAGTAAGTACGGGGATCACGTAGAGAAGGAACGAGGCTCGAGAAAGTCTTCGGGCCTGTAGGCATCGGTCGAAGGATGTTCCTCGCAGTGGACGAGTTCATGCAGAATCCACCGATCTCCTCATCAGTGGTTGCCATGTATGCCTCTTTGACCATGTCGATGTAGGTTGTTGAATTGTTGAATTGTCATCCATCCATGTATCGAGGCAGACATATGCGTCCAATTTGGAGAGTAATTGACGCTCTTCAACTTCTCTACTGGGGTAGTATCACTTCTCCGAGCCGAATACACGAGCTAACGTTTTGACCCGTATCTTAAGCCCACAGTTAAGGGTGGTGCAAGCTCAGGCGGAGCTGGCAGGCCCAAGACTAGCAGACTACTTGAAATACATATGAAATCACAATTGAAGCTTGCCGAGTTAATCTAGTGAGAAAGATCTGTTCAGCATCGTTTTCATGATCGTAGGCAAATTCGGGCACAGATTTGCTTACATGATGGTTTACTATCAGGGCCTACAGGAATGTTCCTAGATCGTGACATCGCGTATGGATTTTCCACGGAGCATATACAGTACATTGAGTACATACAGAAGAGATTTCAGAAGATCCCACGACATCCTGATATAGATGTAAGCCCGCAGATGATATCGGAAGTTACGCATAGGTAGAACTCCCGATGCCACCATGAAATGGACTTTTATATCTCACAAGGGTTCTTTCGGTCGCTGGACGTTTTAGGAGATTGTAACACAGTGCTAGCTTTGAATGTGAATGTATCAGGCTCTTAAATAAGTCGCTGGAAACAGGTTGTGACTTACACTTCGGCGTATTAGCGGCAGATCGCACCAATTCAGCATGCGAACAACAATGCCTTCGTTGCAGTAACGTCTTAGCGAGTAAGCTCGCGATGAAGGAAGGTGGATACTGCGATTATACCCCATGCCGAACCAGCTGTGGCAAGGCGTCTCGGGTTGTGGCAGTTACCATCGCGCCTATGGGTTGAGGTCTGTATACCGCGGATCGCAGGCTTGTCAACATTAGGAATCTTGTAGTTTGCATTCCGATGGGTTTGCTCGAGAGAGTGCGTTTTATCTGACTATTCAGCATAGACATCGGACAGTCAAAGGTCTTCTCAGCAAACGTTTCAGAATCTGTTAGTACGATAATACACGCGTGACGGCTTCTGCTCCAAGAGAAATGAAGGTGCTGCGGACACTGACCAGAGCACCAGTGGTTGTCTAGTGAGTCCGGACTCAACATGCTAAAGTTCACGTTGTCCTTCAAGATAAAACAAGGACAACCGATCTTAACAAAGGGACCAGCGGCAAGAGATCTTTCTAATCGATGCGCCATGATTAAGTAACAAAATCGCGTAGCATGACATTGAAATTTGCACTACTGCAGAGAAGCACTGCCCGGCCCCTACACCTGACACGGACAATATGCTGCAACAATTTTCGGACAAAATTAGCTCCGTATTACATACGTACACTGTTTATTTCCAATATATACCAGGAAGACGGAACATACAATGGTGCGAGCAACCTCAATGATGATCTAATGTCTCAATAAATTGCTTTCCTCTCCTCGCCTGTATAATCTACGCTGAAGGATCGGAGAAAAAATGAACAACTTACACATCCTCACATTCTCCAGCCAAGCATTCCACCAAAGGACTTTTAACTACAACAGTCGTGAGTTTCGAATTGAAATGACACGAACGTATTAATACCACAAAACTCGACCTACGGTTGAAAAACGGAAATCTCAGCTTTCACTCCTCTTTGATTCATCTAGCCTGGAGGTCTTTATGCTGTGTCAATGAAGCTCAGGTGGCGACATGTATAGAAGTTGCCGAAGAGCGCCTTCCGAGGAATGGTGCAACCAATGTGATGGGGGGACCAATACTGCTTTACTACTTCGTAGACCCACAGTGGTCTTTCCCTCCTTCCATAACTCTTGAATTAACCTCGAGTAGAGATTTCTACGTCAAACTTATAAAAATCGGCACGTTTATACTTCGCCAGGAAGCATCGTGTCCTCGGTGATGCTGCAAACGCCGCCAGACTGCAAACAACATTAAGAAAATTGACTTAATTTCTTCGTTTTGCACGTCTCGTCCGGAAATCCACATGGTCGCAAACTCATGTATCGTCCCGGCCAGCCATATCTCGTCGCGGAAAATTCATTTACTTCAGACGCAGCTCTGGCAAGCCCGCCTTCGGGTTCCCAATCCTTGCAAATTGGGATTAGCAAGCAAATCAAATACAATGGCAATAGGAAGATACGTGTGCAATACGTGGTCTAACTGTGAAACACAGTGGGAAGGCAAAGCGCTTAACCATACACTGCTGGCTAGATCTTTAAGTTCTTGATTCCCGGCACCTCTTTCTATGCCCTATAAACCCTTGCTGCTCTACTAAATCCCATAGGCATTTTGTGAAAAGTGGACTTTTATCCTGGGCTTGCTGACCAATCAAAATAACTTGTCACACCCTTCATCTTTCAGGGAAAGCTCTGTTACATTACAATTCATGTACCATGCAATGGCTCTTAAGTAGAGAGTCGACTCACCTCGCCAATAAGGTGGGCGACACACTTTTTCTCGGCAATGAGTTCATCCTCACTCTGAATCATAAACATGGAAAAAAGTTAGTTCGACATCCTCGGCATGATGAAGGCTCACTCGTTGCTTGTCCCTTAGAACAATGAACACAAAACAGAGACTTAAAATTGTCTTCATAGAAAGAGCATACACCGAATTGTGCTGGCACTCAACGAACCTTCTTGATGCGTGCGTAGAGATAATCATCAATCAGACAGTGTGGTACTACTTCGTAATCACCATCGCCCTGAACAAAGACAGCGCATGTCATACCTTAGTACTCAGATCTTGATCCTCCAGTCACAATTGAGAAGTAGTGGAAGTTGCGATTTTCTTCTCATCAAGTCCGAGTGATATAACACTACCATAATGGGGTTAAGACTGTGACCCAATGCAGTCCTACGCCTTGTCCATTCTAGTAGTTTCCACAGGACAACTTGGGACAGTGTGACAATAGAAAGAAATTATACCTTTGAACGGCAAGGCATACTGAATACAATGTCTTCGGCAATACCATAAGGATTTCCGTTGGTGTACACCTGCGAGTACCAGAGTTAGTGTGAGAAATGACTATTACGATTTCAAGCAACTTGCTGGAGATACTTTCCGACAAAGTCCCCAAGTGACGTTGGTTCTCACCCCTGATGAAAACCAGTCGCCTTCCGGAGTAGGAGTGATGAGAGACTTAATGGCATCAGCAATAGACACGGCCGTAGATGCTGCGGAAGAACGCCCCCACTTCTTGATCAAAGCACCTCCACGCTGCACGGCAGGAAATTTGCTTGAGTACAGACACTTGGGACTTGTGATAGAGCTAGTTACAAGCTATTCGTAGGTTTTGGAATCATATGTACATCTCCAAGGGCTTGGCTAAGCGAGGAAAATTGCTAATGAACTTACAGTTTGCACTCGGGGAGTGAACTCCTCCTCCAACCACTTGTGGTCTGTGATAACATCCTTCACTTGCCTTCCGTGAATTTTGGCGTTTAGGAAGTCGGGCACCTGAAATACACCAATCACAAGTTGGTACAAAACTTTTTCTAAGCTGCGCTGTACAATCGTAATTGAAGGGTATAACATTTGCAAGAAAGATTGAAGAGGCACTGCCTTTTAGAAAGTGCAGCTTACCTGAGTGGTGCTGTGGTTGCCCCAAATGGTACAGTTGGACACATTGTCGTAAAAGACTCCTGCTTTCAAAGCCAGCTGCACAATATACAAACAACACAGAAAAGATTTCAAATACAGATGGAGTACATATCGTGCGACACGACCGGCTGTCTTCAGAAATGAGGTAATCTTTGCCAGCAGAAGATGAGCTAGAAGGATCCGGGAGCAAACAAGGCACTCCAGTTGGCAATTTCACGGGATAGAACGTAATGGATAGAGGCAGCCATAGTCTGACTTGTATCTTACCTGACATTTGGCTCTGTTCTCATCCAACCTGGTCAGCGCATGGAAATTTTTCGCTGGAATTCGGGGAGCATTCTTCAAAGCGATGAGTGCACTGCGAGAAGACAAGTAGTTGCGACGTCGAAGATTAACTTCCACAACCACATCCACACGGCAAGTTACAGATGAAAGAAAGCTGGGGGTGCAACTGCGGAGATAATCTTTATTAATATATCTCAGACCGTGTTGATCACTCACTTCGTATTGCAGGGGTTTCCAACTACCATAACTTTAACGTTAGGACTGGCGACCTCGTTCAAGGCTTTACCCTGCATTGGAAAAACGATGACATGAGACAGATGCGGGCAAACCTGCATTGAAAGACGGAATTTCCATCCCATGAGGTTACGCCTTCACAGAAATTGACTGCTCAGACATCGCGACATGACTGGGCAACGGCTTCTTCCGTACCTGTTCGGCAAAGATCTGACCATTAATGTCTAATAAGTCAGCTCGCTCCATGCCGGGACCTCGTGGCTTAGCACCAATCAGCAAGGCCCAGTCGGCGTCACGGAAAACTTCCGTTGGTTCGATGCCGATGTTGACTTCCCGCAACAAGGGGAACAAGGAATCTTCCAACTCCATTGCGACTCCTGAAAACATGAAGATCGAATCACAGAATGGTTACGATTCCTGTAAATCGGGGTTCCTTCTCGTAACCACACATTATGAGTACACACTTTGAGCCATTCTCGAGATAGATTCGCCGGTTTTTGTAAAGAACACGACTATTGCCATTCGGCACATTGGCACAGAATTGTAACTTTTGATTTCGATATCGGAAGTAGGGAAAGGTGCGTAAAGCGCGCCGTTCACAGCCCCGACAAGAGAGATATCGTCAGCGAATTATCCACTGAGCATTTGTAGCAGGCATCGGAAAGGTGGGGGCTAACCTTCGAGGGCATTCCTGGACCTCACAGAACCTAGAAGGTTGAGAGCTATGGGTTGGTCTTGTCCAAAAACCTCTCCTGACGCAAGCTGCAGGCACAATCCACATGATCAGAGTGAAAATTGATGTGTTTTATGGTGCAGAATAAAAGATGGTCATCCGCCGCTTTGGTAAAAAAGAGTTATTCGGTCCAACATGCACTCGAATAGCTAAACCAGGACCCCAGAATCTCTTTCGTCGACAATCAGGTCAGAGAGGGCGGGGAAGAATTTTTCGGTACCTTGAACAGCAGATGGTTCGAGATCGCACCAGCGGCTCCTGATACTGCAATCCGAACAGTCTTCTTCCATGTCTTAGGCCTCTCGTCCTGGAAGTAAACATGCGGCATGTGAGATTCCCATCGTTCTTCTACAGGGGGAGAAATTGCACAAAACTCTCCGAGTGGGTGAACAGTTGCTGGGAGGGGATGTGGTGGGGGTGTGTGTCGTGAATTACGACTTCTGACTTACTGAAGTTATCCAACTGACCTCTTTCAAATCATAGGTCACACAGAAAACTCCAAAACACTCTGTCTTCGTAGATTCAGATGCAGGCGGCTGAGAAGAGGGCTGATCTACTGACGGCTGCGTAGGGCTGCAGTACAACAAACTCCGAAATCAATACTCAAATGTTCAGATTCATCTGTAGAAATCACAAGCGAAATAATAGGAAATATGTTCATCTTGTCGATGGCAATGCACACGGTATATACAATTGCGTGAAAGTTCCTGATTGAAAACATCCCTCGAGGAACTACAATAACTCCTCACTTTCTTCTTCTCCAAGTGCAATTTTCTCGCCATACTGCGCCAGCGGGAATGAATCACTGAGGATGGCCAAGTGTAGGATTCGCAGAGCACTCTGCTTCCTAGGTGACAATGCCCAGATAGAAAGAAGAATCTGCGTACGGAGCCATATTTCCTTGGGCAGCTAGACAGTAAAGTTCGGCAACGTCTACTCGGATTGAGAGGGGCGGATGGCTTCAAATCAAAGACAGCGAGACGATCAAATAACGCAACACAATTCGAAAAACTTGCATCTGATATGCATGGAATCATATCACAGGATACACTCGGACTTCTCTTGTCATCCCCGTTGGGGCACAGAATTGTAGAGGGTTCTTACGAATCCATGGGACATAGCGCATGATGGGTGCGGCACCAACCATAGGCATTCCCCATGTGAGTTAGGAAAGGTAAAAAACCGAATAAGTTATGTTGTACCGGCTTCATACCTCTCCAACGACCAAAAGGAGGACAGAGACCGACAGAGGCCTCTTCAGTGAGGCCAACGAGCGAAGCAACACTTCTCAATGTACAACTGGCTCGTATGACAGCTGCTACAGATGCATGGTTTAATGTACTGATTTGCGTGAACGCAAGTGTGCGGTGAACGGCATCGAAGGGAGGAGAAACAATGCCCGACAAACAGAACAACGAAACTAGCGTTTTGACTAACCAAGACTTATCTGATTCTCTCGCAGTATACACGTACGATATTCCGTTCATACGAGAAGGAGGGGGATCAGGATGCGATAACACCACCTCATAAACTTCACACGTCAAATTGGCTCCGTACGCAAAAGATTCACCAAGATTTCAGGGGCAACGAAGGGATATCTAAAGGTTCCATATTTATTGAAGGCACCGAAGTAGCAAGTGTGAAACCAAATTGGTGAGAAAACTCTCTCTCTCTCTCTCTCTCTCTCTCTCTCTCTCTCTCTCTCTCTCTCTCTCTCTCTTTCGGAGGCTCAGAGGTCTGGGAAAAATCTCACCTGGTGACAGCGCAGAATGTGATTCCAGAGCGTGATGAGCGCCGAGAAGACAACCGAGAGTCCGAGCGTCCGCTGACGGCCGATTGCACCCGCAGAGACTGGCCGTAGAACGCACTATGTACATTGAATTTCTGGCCCACAACCGAGTCTCGGAAGGGTGTTGTCACCGGTTTATCGGCAAATGCTGCCACAGTTCCAGCAACCTTGGAGAGCGCTGCCGTTGGCATCTTGAAGCCGCTACCCCTGACGGACCAAGGTCGCACGAGAGTAGTTGGAGTCGAGCAGGAGAACGAGCTGAGAGAAGTCTGGCTTCGGGATGTGTTCAGCTCAGACGAGAGCTGGCTCTTGGTCGAGATCTCCGAGGGGCGGGAATGAGGGCGAGAAGGAGGGAGGGACGCTGAAAACTCGGGCGATCCTGCGGCAACGTCAGTCCTTCGGGTAGAGTTGACTCTCCGCACCGAGGCAGCTCGGTCCGATTCTTTCGACTGAGGTCTGAGGGAATTTCTCGACGAGCTACGGTTGGACGAGCACCCGATAGAGAGCGATGTGCCAACTACTGCGAGGTTCACACACAGCCTGTCCCTTTCCGATTGAGAGATTTCCCGAGATGAAGCGGAGCACCTGTAACAGGCAGATACTGAGAGCTTTTTTTGGCCGGACTAAAGCAGGCGGCAAGGCACAAATGACCGGAAGGCACTGACCGACTTGCAATCGCAATCCCCAGTCAGTCCAACAAAAGCAGCAGAATATCCAACGGGATCACTTGTCCTTCCTGCTGTTAGGCCCTTGCTCCACCACCTCTCCCACTCCTCCCTCCGTGCTCTCGTCCTCTGGCCTCTTGCCGCAAGCGAGCTTGAGACCTTCAACGATGACACCCAGCATGAAAAAAAAAAAAGGAAATCCATCGTTGCGAACCCCTACTTTTGAGGCCGCGGAAGCGCACGCAGCTTCTGGCTCACCCCCGAACGCCCCAACCCCACGACACTCGAACGAAAGCAAACAACGAACTCGATACCCTCCCCCGCCCCCTTCCCCCCCGTCCCCCACCCACCCCTAGATCTAGCCGATCCCGCTGGATCACAGCATTACCCGCTTCAACGCTTCTCCTCTCTCTTTCTTTCTCCCTCTCTGTCTGTGTCTGTCTTCCCGTCCGGTCCCGCTGTCACGAGCACAGCGACCAGGGGCCTGTCTCACTCTGCGCCCTCTGCAGATCAGAGACGTGCACTAACCCCGAAAAGAAAAGCGCAAAACAAGCTCCACCTCTCTTCCCGAAGACCTTCCCGATCTCTGAATCAACGTATCTGCATCACAGGCCTTCCCTCTTCCTATCCGAGCCCGGTCAGAGGAGGAGGAGGAGGAGGAGAGAGAGGAGAGAGGAGAGGGCAAAGGTGCGAATGTTTTCCAATCCTTACAAAGGACAAAAGAGCAAGAAACGCAGCGCTGCACCGGAAAATGGAAAGCGATGCGCACACGCAAAACAACCAGCAGCAGCAGCAGGGGGGGATGGGTTGCTAATGAGAGGCCAGCCTACTCTCCCTCTCTTTTTGTCACAAGGTTTTCAGAGTTTGCGGTTTTTTTTGTTTTGTCCGATCGGGTGAGGAAGGAGCAAGCAAATGAGCAATCGGCAAATCAATTCACCAGCCGCGAAAGGTACTGGCCACATCCCCTTCCACGGCTCGCGATCTCTTGTTGTTGCTCTGTTGCCGCCAGTGCACCTGCTGCTGCTGCTGCTTGTTGTTCATGCTCTTGATTGTGGCGGCCGTGGTCGCCATTAGTAGCCGTCCTGCTCTTTCTCCTCCGCCATAGCCACCTCCGTCCCCACGGTCCCGCTCCTCCGTCCTCGCTCCTCGTCCCTCGACCGCGCCAGCAGCAACCCTAGCCCACTTCCGTCAACCGCAGTCACAGCTCTGCGCATTCCGTCGTCCAGTCTCACCTTTCCCACATGCTCTGTCCGAACCTCGCCCGGGGCGTCTGACCACGGACGGTACGAGATCTCCTGCCGTAACCGAGTGGCCGTGTTCGACGCAGTTTTTATAATATTCCCCGGTCTATCGTGGAGCCCTGTGTTCCACTTTCGAAGGTAGAGGCTCTTTGCACTATTTATTTATTTGTCCCGTTCTGTACTGGAGCGTGTATGTTTTGTACCTTTATTGTCAGCCTACTCCCTCTGCAGGTACGCTGTACTTTCGGCGTTGTTGCGGCAGGGGGAATCCTCGATCCGTGTTCTTTCGACATCATCGTCGCTTTCCCATTGACGTACGTGCCGTTATAGACCCGATCGACGAACCCCACGAGATCCCTTTCTCCCTCCGAGCGCAAACCTAATCGATGGCTCTGCTCATCTTTTTCTTTTTGCTCTCTGCTCGGCCCCCTTGACCTCCGAGCGCGGCTCAAACCTTACATTTTGCGCATTGAAATCCCTTCAGCATGTTTTCGTAATGTCCGCATTTGAAGTGAGAGTTTCGGACGAATCATTTGCTGGGTGCTCGTCAATGATGACAAGAGGCCATTGGAACGGAGATGATGGCCGAGACTCTTATTATTACTAGGGAGCTCACTCCGTGGACATTTATTTAGGCTCAACCACCCTATTATCCATCATCACTTCACCTTTTAAATTCACATTATCTCAACTTTCGGATCACAATGCTTTTACTCAAAATATCTTATCACTTTCTATCTTCACACATGAGAATATATTTTCCATTTATCGAACAACGGCGGGAGAAACAAGAACAATCGCCACCGATTACTCTCAGGGCAAGTCCAGCAGTGACCTCTCCGGGTTCATATTCACCACTCCGAGGCCCGGATTGGTACAGCTCAAGAAATAGCACAACTCATCGGCTTATGCATCACGATGAAGCGTTCGTTACAGCCTTCTAAGAGCTTATTCAAACGATTGCGAATTGATGACAAACGCCATCTTTAATATCTTAGACCTACAAAGTGAAACACTTTGGGCAAACAACAGCGTTCTTATTTCGGTGTACAGTCTAAGAAGAAGACTATATGTATCTGTCTATATAATATTCTCTTCATACTCTTCATTTTAAGTCAATTTCTTGACTAAGAAACTTTATTTGTGATGTTATTATTTAAATTAGTTTATTCCAATACTTGACTTCAATTTTGCTCACGGTATCATCACTTGGCCATACTAAACGTTTTCTGTTCAGATCTTTGGGTGCTTCAGAACCGTGCTAATGATTTGGAGCGAAATTAACTTTTCTTCATGTAATTTAAAAGTTTCCGAAGGAATTACTTCTTTTGGACAGTTTTGTAATATGAATCACAGTATTCGAGTGCACAAATCTGCGGCCGCCCAAACAAACTGGATTCATTCCTTACGACTTAGTTTGCTTCTTCCCAAAGAGAAGAAAATGTCATTCCAGATTGTGAAATTGCTATATTATTCACTTAGGTTGCAACTTCAAGCATTTTAAAAAATTATTCATGTTACCTAATTAATATGCATATTTTTCTCTTCTAAGAAAATTATAATATTCAATGATATGTCTAATGATGCAAGGTTGAAGCTTCAATTATGTAATTTTATCAAATATTTTCTAAGTTCTAGACTTTGAAAGTATAATTGGTAATTGTCTATTGTATTTCGAAGTGTATCTTACAAATTCAAAAACTAATTGACCACTAATTCCATATTACTGTCGAAGTGGGAATATCAATACTTTAGTTGCCATTAGCAGATAAGGTTTTATTTTGAGAAACTTGTAAAGCTGCATCCAATGTTCTCAGCTTCCAAGTAGTACGGAGTTTGTTAGCTATGAAATTTTGAACATGTACCTTGCATATCGTCCATTAGACTCGATAACTTCTTTGCATCAATTTTTTCTTCTAACTAGAGAATTAGGGATTTAGCATTAAGCATTTAGGAAATTTTGATTATCTTTGAAGTTTTTATTCATCAAAACGCAGGATCGTATCATGCGATGACGTAACCTCTCGCAAACCCGTAAGGCATGCATCACGTTTGACCTGTGAACATCGCCAGGCGATAGAGTATCATGATTATCTGGTGGACACCACTCCCCCTCGTGATGAAGAGCATCCTTACTATGCACATCAACTTTAACAATGATACAGTTCCGCTCTGCTGACCTGCGTGCACTCTGAATATCAGTAGATTCCATTCTACTGTGTTGGAAACAAGATCTGTACGTTGAAAAAGGTACTCGTCGTATGAGAAAAGAGAGTGGTCGTAATTCAACCCCAGTTACCAAACAACAGCAGGCTCTGTACCTTGAGACATTCTCCGGGGCAATGGGTAAGAAGGTAATTTCTTGTACCTCCGAGTTTACAGCACGTTCCGGAAAAACCAGCGGAGGTCTAGACTCTACAGTGAGATGGTGATCGTCCTTTATATTTAGGTGCAGCAGTATCCGGCTCGATGGGGTCATCGCATCCTTTGCTAGATTACATGTTGGATTCCATTTATTGGAAACCATGAAATATAGCCATTTATATTTCTATAACTAGTGTTTGTGAACCTGCAGCTAAGCTCGAATATGAAACATATCTCTCGTTAACTGTGGTTGACTCGTGTTCCAGCGCCATCCTCTGGAACCCACCTCGTAAGTGAGCGGGCGGATATCGTTGTGCAACGCAGTCGACTGCGTAGAGACAAGAACGGCCAAGAGGAAGCTGGGATCGGGAACTACCACCACCAGATCTCCGGCGTATTTTTAGGCAGGACACACCAAGTGGGGGACAGTGGTTCGCCCCATTGGCTCCAACATTGTGGAAAAAGGGCGCTGATCTGAAGAAGTAATTTGGCCGTAGATATCTCTAGAGGACAAATATTCAAACTGCGCTGGACGGAGAGATGGAAGGCAGGCCACGGAAATAAAAATAGGCAGCAAAGGGGATCGAAAGCAGGACGAAGTTACGAATCCTGATCCCCTCCCCCTCCCTGCCGCGGGAAGCCAGGCTCCTCCAAATCCTCGGGTCTCGGCGTCACAGGACGTCTCGAGAAAAATCACGTGACCCGGTGGTCCTTTCGGGAGCACTAGATGGCTTCTGCAGACGGCGTCTCGTGTATTGTAAATGCATGTCAGAGCCCCGAGATGTAGAGCACAAGGTTTCCGGGAAATACGTCCGAAATCTGGAATGCTCGGCTCGTGCTACATCACTTATGTCAATGGCCAAAAGCCTTTCAAATAATTGCCGATGGCACCGAGTAATCAATACGCACTGGTCGTTATTGTCTGCTATCTCTGTTCTAGAAAGCATCTACTTGGAATCTTTCACCTGCACTGGCGTAGCAGGTTTCCACCCTCGGAGCGACTGGCTTCAACTGGCTGATATCCGGTGGCTTACCGATGTCTTCATATGGAAAGCTGAAGCCGAGAGGAAAGGGCATTCAGCGGGTCAGGCGAGTCAGCCGGTCCGCTTCCCCGGTCGCTTTCACCTTTCGCGGCGTAGCAGATCCGCCGGACGATCGCATTCACGCCACCTCCACCTTTACAATCGACGCTTCAAAGTAAATTTTGACCAATGCTGTGGCCTACAAGATGCGTCTCGAGACAATAAAGGGTCCGTATCTCTCATTTCCGGCAAACCGTCCCGGTGCGCGACAGCGCTGGTTACCAATAAATGGCTAGCCCCAGAATGGAATGACCGGCTGCCGGCCTCTGATGCTGCGGAGGTTCCTAAACTCGGCATAAGCCTATTCTGGCCGGTGACGGATCTGTCAACCTCGCGAAGAGTCTAGAACAATTGAAACCCGCGGATCTGCATAAAGATAGACCATAAAGTGTAAGCATTACTCCGGTAACCGGTTCCCATTCTGGAGGATCTGGGAACCAACTTCGCCGGCCGAGCGTATACAGGTCCAGCGAGAGTGTACGGTTGAGGCGAATGTTCCTCGACGCCGTGGGCTGGAGTAGTACGTTCCAGGTCGAACACACGAAGGTGCCCCGTAGGCAGAGTCCAGCGGAAGCAGCAGCGGAGCCTGAGCGGACCGTCGGTTGTCAGTTCGTTCTCTGGCCATGTGAGGCCAGCCGCGTGGCATCATCGACGCTCACAGTATTGAAGATATTTACTCTCGCGCACAACTTCGGGAAGCACGAAAAGATTACGCTCAGGACTGATGTTGTGGGGTCGCCACGTGGCGGGCGAGCTGTGGTCTCGCTTATTAGTAGCAGGCGTTGTCCACGTGGAATATTTCTCGCCTTACGGGATAAGCCTGAAAGGGTTCGAGCTTGGAGCTCGTAGAGTCAATGTAGACCTCAGGCCTGCTCAATTTCGTGCTCTACCCTACGGTGGGACCGAGAGACGGATCGTTTTCGAATCCTTGTCCTTACGCTTTCTCTCGAGTGTCGACTGCCGGAGGTACTTGCCGTCGACCCCGGGCCAAAGCTCGAACTAAAAGTCGTCGGAATGAATCTCTTTTTCTCGTCTCTCTCTACGGTTTTAGGTTCACGAGATTTATAGGATGAAGTAGCGACAATTGTGACATTTCAGGAGGAGGGGAAGACTTCCATGGTTGGAATTTGTTATGGACTTTCGGTGTTTATCCACAAAGCCAGGAAGTCAAGCGGGGAATCCATTGCTTTTTTGCCATGGAGACCTCCGAGATGTTCTAGAACCTCGACGTTAAATCGAGCATATAACCTTTTATAGTGTATTACACAAAATCCTTATACTGATTATTGTTTTTAGTTCATCAAATCTCTAAGTGCTTCACAGGGAATGAACTCATTATTCGACCTAAAGTTTGTTCTTTCGTATGGTGGATCGTTCGATGTGTAGGTGGTGAACAGCTTTATACCCTGCCCTGCTTTGCCTAGGACTATTCGCTTGAGAGAATTGAACATTTCTGCACTGTGCAAATCCTAGAGACAACTATCTCATCCAGTGTCACCTTGTGAATTGCTACAAAAGGGCGGTGTGAAACAATAATAACGACTGGGTTTTATTCAAGTTTTCATTCCCATAGAATTTCTCTGAAAGTTGAACACGTCCATGCAAATTCTTTCAGATACATCCAGAAGAGGATAATCTCCTTACGACATTAAATAGTTTGGGGATGTAGCCGACATAATCTAGGCATGTGTATTCTGTACCATTTGGAAAATTCCAATTTCATGCGACCTGTTTCAGTAATGAGCATAAGAAGATTAGTATGTATGTTCGCTATGTAAGTAAGTATGTATAATTTCATGAAGCACAAATGTTATAAATATACATCTTGTTGACAGTTTTGTGAATTTAGAGACTGCTTTGTTGTGTACGTGTTGTTGTGGTGCTAGCAATTGATGAGCGTGGGGGTCTAGAGATGGCGATGTAGTTTATGAAGGGAGCAAAGTTTTATAATTTTACATCATGCATGCCACCGTAAAGACATACATGTATAAAAACTTTTGGATTATCCACATGTCTTCTTTACTTATAAAAAGCAACCGTTGTTGAGATTGACTTTGAATGTGCTTTTACTCCATTTTTCTTCCTACATGAATTGAATACTCTTATGTTTTCTTAAGTACATGAGGGGGAGAGTCAAAGCTTAAATGTGGATTAAATAGGCAACAATCTGCTATAAGATTGTTCTTAACACCAATAAAATTTACAATGGGATTCATTGTATACCACCCTTATTCATGGAACGACTAAAAATATCAATACACTACAAAAACACACACAATTGGTGAAAAATTGAAAAATGTCAATAAAACTTTTTCATAACATTCTTGACATGATTTAAATTGAAAATTTTTCTCTGGTTATTACATTATTTATTATCCTTTAAGCTTCTTGTTATTGTGTGAATTTTGTCTTGCAATGCATGCCAAACATGCGTATATGTATATATTTTCTACTTCCAACTAGAATAATTTTTTCCCATTTTATATGTATTTTTTAAATAAAGTTATTTGTGAGAATGAAATTTGACAAATATTTTTCTACATCAAATAATTTCTTTTTGTAAGTTGATTTTGGTTCAATGATATGGTTTTGGTTTTTTATGTCTACTTGATGACTATATGAAAATCTCACAAAAATACTAGATCAAATTTATGGTCAATGTTATTCTATAAAAAAAAAATTTGGAGTATGAAAAAAAATCTCATGTATTTTTGTGATGATGTTAGTGTTAGTATACGATGAGATTAGTTTTACAATAATCTTTTTAATATTTTGATCTGAATATATATAAAATGTGGAAAAAATATATTTAACATGAAAATAATTTAGTCTTCTGTATCTTTTGTTTAATTTAATGATAAATAGATTTTGTATCATAATATTTCAAAATGACAAATGAATCATTTTGATTGAGATTAATGCAAAAATATAAATAATTGATGTTAATAAAAGATTGTTGTTTTTTTTTTTTGATGCTTTGTGAGTAAATTTAAGCATGTTGCATGTGAAACATGTATATTGAATATTGAAATTCAAACAAAGTTTTATATTATTGTTTCTTTGTCAGCTTCTTTGCAATTTTAAATTTTCTTAAAATGATTAATTGAATTATTCTATGCTAATCTATAATGAAATTGATGTTTAAGATTTTTAATAATTCAAATTCTAATTAAAAATTGTTAATAAGTAAGATATGTTGGATTGAAAGGTATTAAAATTTTGAATTTATTTCATAAAAATAATATATTTATAGATGATTGATGTTGAAACAAGGTACATTCTATGAAAATAAGTCAATATTTGAATGAAATCATATATGAATGATATAAAAAATTATTATTTATTATTTGAGATTTAAAATCAAGTATCATGATCAAATAGATTGATGTTTAGTAATCACTTTGTATCAGTATTTTATTCAAGAGTTGATTAATATTAATATTCCAGTAACGACACACTCTATTTCATTTCTCTACTTGCTTTTATTTGTTAAAAGATTTAGATTTTCATTACATATCTAAGGTGCAACATATCTACCACTCATTCTCTTTGAATTTTTAAAATGCTTTAGGAGAATGAAGTAAAGGTGGGCGGATGAGTGTTTTGTTTTTTTACTCTTGTGATCAATGCATGGATTGTTGATGATCAAAGGATTAGAGATGTAGATGTAGATGTTTTGTAATGGTGTAATGACATCCTAGATATCACAACTTTAACTTAATTTCAAAGAAGTAGTGGAGCCACATGTAACCTGCATTCTTTAACTAACATGTAGGCATTGTTTGTTAATAATATGCATCTTGCAGTGCTATTAATTATATTCTAAGTAACTTGAATGTTTTCAGAGACCTAAAGCTTTTATTTATCATTGTGTAGTATTCAAATATTATCTCCATGTTTTGAAAAGCAAGTTTTAAGGTTGATTATGATGAACTTGCAAGTTTTATTAGGTAAAGAATTGTCTCCACATTAAAAGTAGGTTCCTTTTGAAGTTAGATTTTCTGTTGGTGATAAATTACATCTTGAAGCAAATGTGTAGAAATGGAGGATATTTTGACATCCAGTTTGGTATTTCTTATACATTAGGCTTTCATGTAGGATATTGGAAATTAAACTCTACATTCACCATTACAGGTTTGTGTAAATAGGTTTGATTCATCTCGTTGAAGTATTATAAAGTAGTGCACAGTGGAGGCTGAGCATTTTATTTCCTCTCTTTACAACCAGATAGTATCACATTTGGCTCAGTCTTCTAAACTTTGGGTTCTTTTATGACCTCAGGCCTAAAACTACAAGAATATTTCAGGTTGCAAGTAGGCCTATTCAGGATAAGAAGAAATGAATTAAATAAAACACATCTATCTTGATAAGAGATAAACTTAGCATGCATCATGAAAAAGCAAGAAGGACTATTTTAATGGTCCTGGCATTCAACGATGTTATAATCTCACAGAACTAGGCTTCTTAGAGGCGTCAGAAGATAACACGTCGGCTCCAAGGAACCGAATTTCATCCAAAAGTGGTCTCGATGACGAAATAGAAAAATTATTTCCTCGGATCCATAAAAGCCAAAGCGCTCGGTGATGAGACTGAAAGGAAGGAAGCCTGGCCGCGACCAGTAGATTCTTCGCCCCCTATGAAGCACGTGAAGCGGGGGAAATGAGTGCGGATGGTTGAAGATTTAACGGGCCTCGCGCAGAGCTGTCAAGAGCTGTGTGCCGTCTGGGGCCTAGGCCGCGGCACCGCGCCGTCCGCCTCGAGCAGCACACGCAAAGGCGCGGTCGCTCCAGTGCGCGGCACGGGAGGAAAGGAACGGTGCGGTGCCGTGACGATCACCATCATGCGATTTGCCAGCAAGTGTACTGCACCTTATCTTGATCGCTGGGTTTGTTTAGGTCAAGAGAGCTTCGTGCCTCTTTGACTCGCGATGAGAGGACGAACCTCGAATATCGTGATCTTCGATCTCGAAAAGATTCGCCGCATGTAGTTTGCACGCATGTCTGCGTTCAGAGAATTCGTTCTCGGTCGACAGCAGTAGCAGAGGCGACGTGCGCGTGCTCGCCAACAACGGTGGACCTCTATCCTGCAGAGGATGGCAAAGTTCTGTCTAGCTGTCGTCTATTCAAGGCTTTCCACAATTTCGGTGCTCGATTCTTCTCATACGGAACTCGCGAAAGTACCCGGCCAAACCTCTGCCCCCTCACAATGATGAGCACTAACGTATCATCTCGGCTCATGCAATTGATTTTCTTTTGGAGTATTCAAAGGCAGACGGGGTCAATCAGTGACACCGGACTGGCCAGAGGCGTTTTCAAACAACCGTTCATGATAATGTGCATGGTAGTCAGCCATTCCTGAGTAATACTCTAACATTCTCGGTGCCCTAGATATGATCCCAGCGCTGTTGGCTTTTGTTGCCCTGTCCTTCGGTAGCCATTGCAATCCTTTCTGAGCTGGGCGATGGTAACTTTTTGCTGCTCAGAATATGCCAAGCATGCCACCGAATCGTTTGCGATCTCGAACGATGACGAAAGGAAATTGGCTGCTGGAAACGCGCAGGGGAGCACAACAGTTTCGAAGCACTAAACAGGGTTTTAATTCCACATGCTTGTTCTTTCATGTCATCCAAACATTCTGCTATCTACCTCTTCAGCTTGGATCATTCCTCCGTGGATCTTGGAAACGGGACAGAACCTCATGAGCACGCCATGGCACATCATATCAGTTGTTATATACTGCAGTTTTTCTGTCTCGCACAATACTCAAGCTATGACATCAGACTCTATCTAAGTAGACGTATCTAATGGTAAGTGTCTTGAGATGTTTTCTAACATATTTGTCAGCTCTCGAAAGGATGACAAGCTGATTTTCATGCCTCATAAAAGTGGTACAGTGCTCTACAATCTGCCTCGACAACAGTGGAAAGATGTTATCTTCGTCTTTGAACAGCTGGGCGAAGGTTTGATGGAGATAGAATTCTTTCTACGGATAACCTCAGTTTTATACCCTGAATATTCACTTCCTGGAACAAGCACTACTTTGAAAGTCGTAAGTAGGAGAAGAAATGTCACCTACTACTGCTATCATGCAGTTTTGATGATCATAGTGGTCGGCAAACGATATTTGGAAACTACACCATCGAACGTTGTCATTAATTTCTTCCCTTCCCTGGATCTTCATTCTCGTGGAGTGCACAAAATCCGCTCTCTGCATTTCGACACTCGGACATCTTTTTGCTCCTCATTGAACGTTCAAAAGCGTTGAACGATGAAAGAATTTGTCATACATGAAGTCAAACCTTCGAAACCGATTGTTGTTGGGGAGTTACACTCTTCATGGTTAGCTATGATGATCTTGATTCTAGATTGCAAGATGCTCAAGGACTTCAATAATCGAGAAGAAGAATGAGGCATGCATTACACTCAATGAGGCCAAACTCACGAAATAAACGCGAGATTAAAAGACTGATGATGTCGCAGCTTGAACTTGTCGAACTGCTGGACGATGGGTACATCGTGTAGCAGTTCGACAAGTTCAAGCTCCGAAACCTGTCAGTGAACAAGTGATCACCGGACCCTTCTAACAAGCAGTTGAGATAAGATCTTTGACATCCTTCATTGTTTCCTTGAGTTTCAACTTTCATATTTTTCAGTTTGTCGAACAGATCAACCTGATTATAAACAGCCCACAAGAATTTAATGAAGCCCAATTTCCAGTCCTGGCAAAGACCTGTGAGAGCTTCACTAGTGGCTGGTATACAACTGGTAGTGGTCACCGAGGGCTGTGACTACCTTCGTAGAGGGTGAACAAATGAAGTGAAAAGCGAGGTGTTCGCTTCCTATCAAACCAGAAGTGGCGTACCAAGTCCCATATATATTTTGAGTAGAAATTGTATGACGAACAATTGACGAAGTGCTTTGTCTGACCAAATTTCGTCTGTATAAAAGATACGTAGATATCGGCGTCCACAGACTCATATCCTGATTTTAGTCCCTTTTTTGTTTCTGAGTCCCAGTGAGCGCAACTAGGAGGGAATCACCTACCTGGAAATGTGACCAGCAAATTGGCAGACGATTCGTTGGTTGTTCTACGTGATTTGCAACGGCACTCGAGATCGTGCTTAAATACGGTTTGATAAATGCAAGTTTTGCAATAATATCTGCTGGAATTGTGGCATAAGAAAGCAGCTTCGCCTCGTAAATTAGTCTAATATGTTCCGAAAGGTTAACATGAATATCTATGAATATATGACAAGTTGTGGAGATGATATTTGTTTCGCACAGAGACTTGGGTCACCACGAGTTCTAACAAGAGCAGTGCAGCAGCAAAAATATATTATCGCAGCAAGAGGACGGTCATTTCATTTATTTAGAGCCGTCAAGAACTTGAGGATTTTGTTCAGCATTCCTAAACAGAAGAACAAATGGTGAGTAACGGAGGCTTGTGAGTAGGCCAAGAGATAGTGGTTCTCGGTGTCCAAGCAGGCTATGAAACATGAGAACACTGCTGAAGAATCCGATCTTTTCTCGTAGTGGAATCCACTTTTCAACATCAGTCTTTCATACAGGAGGAATCCAACTTAAACTCGGAGAATTTCATCGACGGATCTGTTGATAGAAAGTAGACAGGGCAAGTCGGACCATCACAATATGGTATAGCTCAAGTGACTAACACATCTTTGCTGACAGAAAGGAGAAGAAAATATGACTACAAGAGAGAGGAAGTGTGCGCAATGATATTACCGCTTATGGCAAGTGCAAGTACCATCTGCGTCGCTCAAATGGACAGGCTCTTGGAAGGCACTGCAATCTCACAGGTAGAAATAGGCACAAATGTCAAGACCTTAGGCTTTTCTTCGTTTATGGGGATCCTGCTCTATTCGTCCGATTCTTTTGCTGTGCCTGCCCTTCAACGAAGTGAGACAGCGAATATAAAATGACAGTTTCTGTAGACTTAGACCCGTAGACGCATATGCCTAGAAGCCACTGTCACCTAAGTGGAGGTCTGCAATATCAGAATATTAAATATTTTCTACGCAATATTGAAGCAGCATCTAAACCATAATACCTTTGGAGCTGAAGGCGTAATTTCCTGAGCGAGAGCTTTCAAGGAGCGTCAGTTCGATTCACCCTTCCGAGTAGTACTGCCTGTAGTTATGTTCGGACATTGACAAACTATGTAACATGTGAGGACATCAGCAGTCAGCAAATTGTAGCGCTTAGGAAGCGATAAGCTGTGAATTTTCGTCTATCCAGTCGAGTTTTGGTAACTCCAGCTCGTTACTGCGTTCTGGCCTTGCAATCGATGTATCATCTATCATGCATATCACAAACCGTGTCCTACATCCAAAACAGTGTCCAGAACAGAATATCCATTAATTTTGAAGACTATGACAAGTGCTGGCGGCTAGCACTTGTCACAGTCTACAAAATTTTACTGCAAAATCAGCGAACCTATGCTGGAAAAGCTATATATACTGACGATTTGCTTTTTACGTATTACTCCTCGCGGCCCTTCTTCCTAAGAAGCACAAAATTGTCGGCGAGCTTGGTCCCTCTCTCTCTCTCTTCGCCCAACTGCTCTCCCTTTCGTGTCCATACATATAATTTAATTTTACTGAGTTGCCCAAAAGCCACTACGAGTTAATACACAGCAAAAACTCTACAGCAATCAACAAAAAGAAAACTAAACTCAAAGGAATTAGTCAGAAGTTTAGCCAAGATAGTAACTACTGCACCCTCTTTAAGTAAGGATACTGTACTCCACCTTGTTCCCAGCTCCGCCGCGTGGAGGCACTTCCTTGGAGCCACGTACCTGGTATTTATACCTACCTGCTACATCGTCCGCGCAGGTTGTTGAGTCCGAGCCCGAAGATGATCCTCCAACTCCATCTCCAGCGCTCCATGTCATCTACATCATGTGGGCTAAATCGAACACTAATGTGGAAACAAAGTTATAATAATGTAATCTATCAGAGAGAGTATAGCGATATGAAGGTGAAGTGTAATGTGTAAAATATAGCAGTTTACACTCTAAAATAATATACTCAGACTGAAGTGACTCTCCTAGGCTTGAGAAGGTGCCTCTCACGAGGTCAGTCTTCCCCCGCCCTGGTTGGGAAAACCTTACGCTCACCCAGGGAGTAAACCTCCTATGGGTGAGCTGCCCAAAGGAAAAATCACTTACTAACTCTGTATGTTCTAAAGTGAAGCTCCTAGGCTGAGAAGGTGCCTCTCACGAGGTCAGTCTTCCCCGCCCTGCTTGGGAATAACTTACGCTCACCCAGTGGGGAATAGCTCCTGTGGGTGAGCTGCCCAAAGGAAAAATCACTTACTAACTCTGTATGTTCTAAAGTGAAGCTCCTAGGCTGAGAAGGTGCCTCTCACGAGGTCAGTCTTCCCCGCCCTGCTTGGGAAAACCTTACGCTCACCCAGTGGGAAATACCTCCTGTGGGTGAGCTGCCCAAAGGAAAAATCACTTACTAACTCTGTATGTTCTAAAGTGAAGCTCCTAGGCTGAGAAGGTGCCTCTCACGAGGTCAGTCTTCCCCGCCCTGCTTGGGAATAACTTACGCTCACCCAGTGGGGAATACCTCCTGCGGGTGAGCTGCCCAAAGGAAAAATCACTTACTAACTATGAATGTTCTAAAGTGAAGCTCTTAGGCGTGGAGAAGGTGCCTCTCACGAGGTCTGTCTTCCCCTGCCCAATCACCCACTAAATATCTATTCACTGACGTGAAACTTCCAATCAACCACTAAACTACGCTACCCGAGAAATACTTAGCTTTGCTTTCCGTGAAGATTGTTCTGGAGCTCGTCTCGTCGCGAATATATGTCAGCAGCTTCGGCACGTCGTCCTCTACGTGCTGATCCCGAGTCCGATTCCAGTTCTCCTGCATCAAAGTATCAATTTGGTCGGTCATTAGATTGTGTTTCACGTACGTAATCCGATGAGCTTCCGATGCCAATGGCTCCAGAGCGTCGCCCGCTCGTGGCCGATCCACAGATCCTGACAAAACTAGAGTCGCTATCCAGAAACTCCAAGGAATGGATTCCGTCAGGTTGTATGCATTGAGCCCGAGGGAAATCAAGTAGGTCGGCAATGTTTCTGATCGTATTTGATGATCGAGCGTTAATCTTCATTCAAGTTATGTTCAACGTTAAAGTTCCCGTTAGACTTGCTTTGCTGTCAATTTGCAACAGATGAAATCGTTTGAACCGAACGTGTCGTAATATAGTAACACGCCAGTAACGTGTAAATAACTGAACGAGATTTCGTCTGCCTGGGAGACTATACACTATACACACTCGAAAGCTGGAGTCACAATGTAGCCATTTAGGAATGGAATGTATATGGAGTCGAGATGAGATTGGAAGGAAATCAGATTTCTAACACATCCCAAATTGTGTAACTTGAGGAAACTTCCTTTCACCCGATCTTTTAATCAAAACTCACGTTCAATAGACAACTACTCGAAAAGCCATCTTTTATATATTTCTTACAGGACATTTACAGTTCAGATCGGTTTATATATTCGACAAGGACATCATTTTTGTTGGATGAAATTTTGAATAAAAACCTGATAAGTGTGAAACACATCCAATCGCTTGCAACATCTGCTGCTTGTGCAAGGGGCAATAACCATCAACCTTGTGGGGAGATTCTCAAATGGGGGAATTTCGAAGTTCCACGGCATTCATCCATATATCCATCCATGGGTGTGCTCAGCAAATCAGAGCAGCAATGATCTGCTGAGCATTAAGTGTCAGAGTATCACTAGATTGCAAAGTATAGGACTAAGCAGTTGATGAGCTGCGGCTTCGGATGGTTCTCGAGAAGGTCCTGGATCACATACTCGATGTTTGGGTCACTCGGCAGTTCTCTCTCATGGACTTGGGGAATATTCTTCCGCATGTTGGCCGGGTAGACTTCTATGATAGCAAGCGGCGGACTTTGGGAACGCCGGCCTTGCCATCCCATCCACCTTAGGCACTGGCTGTTCTGAGAACAGTGCAGTTGTCTTTCCGAATTCTTTCAAATCCTTGGTCGGCCTGGCTTCAGGATACCTTGAATGTCATCATACTGGACCTCTAATTCTGGCTGCTGGCTGCCATAAGCTGTGTGAATCTGGTTGCCTCAATGATCGTAGCAAGATTTCACAGCTACAAAGCATCTGATGGGGAAAGCTCGGCCTCACCAGCTATTATGCAGAGATTGAATTCCCTGGCCTCTTCCCAAATCTTTCCTGTCCAAATCTTGACCTTCTTCTCGGAACTAGGTGTTGGTGACATGCTTCGCAAGCTCTTACAACCACCCGGAGGATCAGAAGAATAATGAAACAGCTGCAAGTCCATGAGCGTACACAATGCCTATGGCTTATACTTGTTTCATAAATTGTTTGATTCTTAGACCCTAAACCCATCACAACGTCTTTCATCCGTGTAGGCCATCACAGAACCCCAAACATGGTACTTTGAAATGTTCGGTCTAGGCCAGTGCAGGACAGAAACTCCGGACATGGGTCTTTGAAATATTCAAGAATATAACGAATTGAATCATCGTGGATTCCATGACATGACTTTGTAGCATAGAACTAATGCACCTACATTCTTTTTTGTACAGTTCACTATTTGACTGGGATTTCATATAGTGACCGTCCGAATCATATAGAGTACGTCCAAAAGTTCAAATGATAACTCGAACATTGTACAACACGTAAAAATATACAATACACGTATCACTGAAAATACTTCATCAATTTTACATCGTTGACAATTCTGATAAAGTATTTGATAAAGTAAAATTTAGAAAGCTTCTTGAAAATACTGGAGAGATGAGTCAAAGGGTTTAAGGTTTAGATGCATAAAATACTTTCATGCGGCTCAGCTGTCTCAACCCATTCATGGTGCCAAATACATTGCTTGCTGATTTTTGTCATACCAAGATATAGTTAATACCCGAAACCTGGCATGGTCTGTTAAACATAGAACACGGTCTCCATAAACATTCTGAACCGTGTATTCTCGGTGAAAGCAACACTTAGTTGTTGTGATGGTTCCATTAGACTGATGATTTGACAATAGTATTAAGGTGTCATATCTGCAGAATAATGATATGAGCAGAAATTTGCAGAATTTTTTTGCAGAAAATGGTTGAAACCACGAGAAATAAGTTTATTTTTGATAGTTTGAGAATTTAATCAAAACCGGTGATCCTATGAACTGATAGTATGAACATATGCAACTAACAGTTTTTAAAATGAAAATAGTTCTAAATTCCATGAGTGATCTAAATATAATTAATCTTAGGTTAATTTGAAAACCTTTGTATTCTTTAATGAATTAGAATACACCATTAATAAGTAAAGGGTTAAAAGTCTAAGAAGTAACAAATGTAGCATGATGTAACTATAAACAAAAAACTTTACTAAAACCCAAAAGTCTAGATGACATGATGATGGATCTAGAGTAGGCTAACACTTAAGAACTTGCAGAAATGAAATCAATTGCCTCTGATGCTCATAAAATTGCTCATGTTCTTTTTAATTTTTTCTTTCCGAATGAAAGCCAACGAATGTTATGCTGATAAATCATAGTTGCTCAACAGCCTTCTTTTTGAATGTGAATCATCATTTTCCACAAATGATAACATGATTTGCGCGCAGATCTTGTATATTTTCACTCCAATTTGGATCTTGTCTCTCGGTATCCAACAATGCATGAAAAACATGCTGATGAGTCTCTAAAAAAGAGATTAGGATCGTACTTCCGAAGTAAAAAGTAAAAGTTTGAAGAATACAATGTCAAAACTCGGCTAAACGAATACTACAGTCTCTTTGACTATGGCCAAAACAGTTGAAGATAAATGTCGATATGATGAAGATGATACATACGCACACAAAACACATTTGCTCCAGTGCCACATTGACATTGAGAGCTTTTGCTAGCTCTCGTATCGTTTTCATGCCGAAATAGGCTTCTTCTACCGGGAACCTTTCTTGTGACCAGTCAAAGAACAATTTGAATGAGAGCCGTATAGACTTATTCTTCTGGTTACAAGCAATTCTTAGCTTCGTAAATGTTTGCGTCGTATGTAATGGTATCATACGTATAAAATCATAATCTAGAAAGATGACCCTGTAGGGCTTAGTAGATTTTAAATTACCTGTAAATTATTATTAATAGTAATAATATATAAACTTATACAACATCTCTGTTGTGCTTTTCATTATCATTGTGTTCTGAATATCAATCAGAAGCTCAAGGGTCCTCTCTATTGAGACCCTTAATAATCTGTCCCAATAATTACCCCATGTAAATATTAATCATTATCACTTGAGCTTCAGAAAGCTAACGAAAAATCGGGAAACCTTGAATTACATCTCTGGATTACTCTGAATTAACGAAAAATCGGGAAACCTTGAATTACATCTCTGGATTACTCTGAATTAACGAAAAATCGGGAAACCTTAAATTACATCTCTGGATTACTCTGAATTAAAGCCTGGACTTCCAAACTGGAGATGATGATGCTCAGCTACTATGCATGAGTTCGTGTGAAACTAACAAACGTTAATCTTTATTGCTTCGATGCAAACTTCAGTAATCTCATCATCAACGGGTATAGGAAAGAAGTGGAGTTAGACAAGATCTGGACTTCACATCAAAATTAAAATCCGGATGATGAAACTTAGGATGATCATTGTTGCGTTTATGGCCTGGACTGAAGGTTGAGTGTTTGCGTTTGATTATTCATGGAGATCTGGTCTATAAAATGGGGCGCCGAAAAATT